ATGTACGGATCAAAGCGAACGTATTGCATGGAATTTAGTTAAATTGCTTATGAAGTGCAAAAGAAGTACTTATTTTTTTATTAATATTAAATTGGTTATGGTCATGCTCTCACTATGCACAATGGCGATATACAGTTCCCTTTCCCTGTTGTTTCAAATTTCTAAATCGACAAAAAAAATCATGATCCGAAGCTGGCTAAGCCATTTTTTGCAGTCGCCTTTAATTCGTACACACTGGCTTATAGCAACAACTAATGGCTATAAAAACGACCTGGTGTGATACTAGGGTAAGCTTTGTGTCTCATATTGCATATAATTCCGTCAAAGGTGACCTTTTATTTAATTCGGAGTTACCACGATCATGTTGTATGATATTTATATATGGACCGTTTAGCACATCTAGCGATTAGTCGTGCCCATGGATATTTCATAACTAAATGCAAACCGTGTAGGCAAGTAATCGCACCTCTGGAAAGTAATGATATGAATTGTCTTACCCTGTGTCTCTGCCGAGGGAGAGTGCTGTCGCTTTGGAGTAGCTATATACGGTAAACCGTGCAGTGCTAATGATACACGGTGCTTTTGGAAAGGGGAATAAATGGTTTGTCTGCAAAAATATGGCTTGAATTCATGAATTCTTTATCAGATTATACTGAAAAAATGAAATGAGTGCCATTTAGGTCAATTCAATTATTAATATATACCAACAAACGCATATGAAATATGTTAAGTCGAAGCATAGAATTTTACATGATACACAGTAATGTTGCGTCATATTTTCTGAAGTAAAATTAGAATTGAGTGTTTTTAAAAGAAAGCGATTAAGTTTGTACGAACATCTACGAGAGATGAACCATATCTACAACAGATGTTGGCGCCATGTCGAACAATGATTTAAACTGTACATACCGTACATGCAAAGAATCAGTTAAAAATCGTGTCGTGTGATTCACTAAATATGGTGCTTTCACAGAAATTTTAATGTTCAACCTTAAAACAAGCAAAATATATTTCGAAGCGTTGTAAGGTTATGCAATATAAATTTACCGAAAATTTTGACGTATCAAATCAAAATACTCGAGCTATATATAAAAGAAAGACTGCGTGTTATGTATCGGAGCTTGATACACAAAAATAATTTGACTTTCGTGTATAATCTACAGGCGCGTACAATAGCTAAGAAAATATGGTGGACACCTTACTACCGTTTGTTCACATCTCAATATCACCTCTAATTTCGGTAAAGTCTACTCCAAACTCCAAGTACAGAATCAGGGATGCTTGTTATAGAATTGAGTACGAAATGCTAAATTTAATGAATGAAAAAAACTATATTTGGAAGTTCAAAATATGCAGGTTGATGAAAATTATGAGAAAGTTTCAAGGTCGTCATAGTGATCTCATTGAGATAAAAACATGGGAAAGTTTTACGGCTGTTATAGCCATATCAAGAAGAAATATTCCAATTCTTTGTGCTATATGAACTGGACGTGTTTGATGCTCGTTTGTTTGTTTAATAGTTCCGCTTTTGTGTACATTGTTCTCCTTTGAGAACGTGACATTACTTATATGTAGTGAATGGTCGTATCATGTAAACGGACAAGTGTAGTTGACTGTTTAATCTTTAATTATAATCTTGTATAATCTTTCTATATATCAAATATGCCAATTGGTGATGTAGATATATTTTTTCAGATATACATTTATCAATCACATTGTCTAATTACCGCTAGATTACCAATTAACTTCTAATGAATGATTATAATTGCCCATAAGTTACCAAGCCATGAGATAACACTTAAAAGTCTGAGTCTGTCAGTAACATCTGTTTTGAAAAAAATCAACAACATGAATTAGGTTGATTACATCACAGCAGAATCGCTAAATGAAATTGTTCGAAAGTAAATACGATGTTTGCAGAAGCTGCTGCTACTGTGCTTTGAATGTTTAAGGTATGAGTACCCAAAATGGAACGCCTCTTATAGTCAGGCCATTTATAGAAATAAATGACTGTAAAAGTTCACCAAATTTCTTATTAATCTCAGTCATTTATCTATCAAAAATATGATTTGCAACAATACTTTTTCTTGTTTAGTCGTATGGTACCACTTTCCGGGATTTGTTTATAATTTCATTTTTTAACATCTTAAAGAGAGATGATGAGCAACATAGAAGACCTGAACTGTTCTTTAAAAAGGCCATGATAATTCATAAATACGTAATTTCTCGTTAGAATGCTTAATATTCACTTGAACGACAAAATAAAAATTCTACGTCAAATGCTTGAGAAGTGTTTCATTTTGGGTAGCGTTAAGTTATATTTGCAAACAGGTTAATCAGTTTTTTCTGAGGGTTCCCTGCCAGTCAAACAGGGTGTCGTCGAGGTTACCCTACAACTGACAACATCTTCTCTATATTATATTCGAATTAATGAAAACTCGAAAGAAGAATAATTCATATTGAGTCTTCATTTACTTCAAAAAGGCCTTTGACATCGTCTAGCTTTTAGCATTATGACATAGACTATCAATAAATAATGTTGAAGAAAATATGCATAAGATTATTAATGGCATGTATAGCGAAATTAACTCAAAATAATAAATAATAGAGAAACTTCAAACTTCTCCAGGTGTGAGAACGGGGAAGCCAAGGTGAGAGTTTATCATCTTTTCTTTTCTTCATTTTTCTTTGTGATTTACAATGTTTCTTATCAACGATAAATGTTAATTATCTTACTACATCTTCTTCCATTAAACTGACTTAATCGGAGGTTGGAGAAATAAACCAAGGGAAGAACGAATCTGCCAAAAATGCAATAAAAGAGACACTGGAGAAGAATTCAGTACAGATTGAAAGAAGAAGTTGCTTATCATTGAAATTAATAATCAGAAAGTAATTTCATTCAGTATTTTCATGATATCTATAAGTGTATTATAAATCTGCCATGTCTGTTCCCGTGAGTAATTATTGAGTGATATTTAATCAATGTACATTACATCTAAACGATACTTACTTATCTTTGTTACCATGAGCACTACATTACTTTTACCGTATATCTAATTAAATTGTTAATCTCTGTATACCATTGTTAAGGTGTTGCGATAATAATTAAATGTTAAATGTACATGATGCATCTTGGTATGTAGTTCCTATATATCTACAATAATTTAAGGACAAATTACACTGTATATGTGTGCTCTGACCCCTATCATAGGGTAATTCACTCATCTGAACAAGTCCCTGTGGACTAATGTAACATTAACTGCGATATATGACGCGATGAAAACAACAAGCATAATGACGTTATTCATGTCCGTGTAACGTAAATGTGTTTACAGCAAAATGGGAGCAAACTGTCTTCAAAATTCTGGTGGGGATATTAAACATCTTTTAAAATACAAGACAGTCTCGAGTACCTGTATGGTAAAAGTTCACGAGCGGATACAAGCGTAAGGGCATGTAACGATGTTTCTGTGTGACATGCACTAATCATAGCATGCTACACAGACCCTTTCTCCAGTAACATTTTACAAGCCCACGTGCTTTTGAGGAACCAAAAGCAATGTCCAGAACTATGTAACTGATTATTCTGAGCGTTACCCTCTTTTTAGCCATCGACATCAGATGGGTCGTTGTTTAAATCCGTTGTATCCGTTGTTCGTCCGTCTGTCGTAACAATTATTGTTATCTGGAGAGGTACTGGAAGGATCTATTTAAACTTTCACTTGTAGGGACCTCAAGTGTGCATTGTCTCATTTTTGGACCGATCGGAAAAACAACGTGGACGAAAGGCGGCCATCTTGGATTTTTACTATAAAAGTACTGGATAGATTTCTCACAAATTGCAGATGTAGGCTCATCTCTGTCTCTTGTGCCCGTTTAATTTTCAGTCTGATTCGTAAAAATAATGGTCTACGATGTCTTCAATTTTTGTTATCGCCATTTCTTGAGAAGTACTGGATGGATTTGTCTCAAATTTCATTGATAGGTTCTCTTTGATCCCTTTTGATTTTGAGGTTTGTCTGAAAAACAAAATACTGAAAGGCGACCATCTTTTATTTGACAATTGAAGATTATTATTCTTTTTCTTAATATTGTTTGATCTTTATATTTATTTGTTCTTTGAAAGTAGGATATTTTCCATAATTTTCTGTTTTTGCTCTTAAAACTAATAATCCTGAACATTTGTTAATTGTCAAATCAAAGATTGTCGCCTGGATGCCATTTTGTTATTCTGATAAGTCCTAAAATCGTAAGGGCACAACTACTGACTAAGGAGAACCTACATATGAAATTGGAGAAAGATCTATCCAGTACTTCTCAAGAAATAGTGATAACAAAAATTGTTTACGCACGCATAGGTGAAGGGCAAGGACGAAGGGCGAATGGAATAGCACACCATGTGATGATGGAGGCATAAAAATCAAGAAGAGATTAACTGAAGATCAAACAATGGTTACCAGAGAGATCACTTTGGGATCTCCTTTACTAGTCCATATCAATCATTTACTTCTGGTTCTCTGCACTCCAAATGCCCTGCCCCTCATTCTCTGATGATACAACCTTGTTTAATCCAGGTATTTGGATTCTCATTATGTATATGGATCATTTTATGACAATTTCCTATTTTCACAGGTATAATATTCACTTACAGGTATAATACTGAAGTTTCATTTTGGATGACTGCGATGAAGTTGTCCTTCTATCTGCATGAGTTCTAGAGTAAATTTAACCTGAACCTTTTGGCAATAAAAACATTTTATGGACCAGCAGTGAAAATTTCACACTTTATGTTTTCCCATCAACTACATAATGTTGATAACTATAAGTGACATCATGCCAAATACACGGGTTCTTAATCAAACATACTTATTTACACATCACAACAAATGAAGGTAAAATGTTTTATCTAACAAAGAAAACATGTTTTTTATATACATTGACAAAGTATGACCGACATACTTCAAACATTTTTCAAGAACAAAATAAAACAACTTGCATAAATTCTATTCCATGTTCTTTATTTCTGGTATTCAAATCAGTGAATGTTACGTATAAATAATGTGCAAACGCTTTTTTCAGCTGAAGAAACCATAAAACCTGTTTATGGTATAATATTTACATATGAATGTCTCCTGTGTCAACTATGAGAATGTTAATACCAATATAATCAAAATAATTTTAAAATGCAATTTGATATGAAAATGAAAATATAATACATATGGTGAAATGATAGCCAATGAAAATATTTAAAGCTTAAAATGTTCTTTACAATTAAAGAATGTTAATATAGCATTCAATTAACATATTGACTTCTTAATAAGCCAACAGACATCTATGTTAATTTCTATATACAACAAGACAATATGTCCATCTTTTTTACTTTCTCACTGTTCGTTATATTTTAAAAGCATTTGCATTGTGAACTTGTTAGACAGGGCGTATAAAAGGTTTTTTTTTCTGATTAAAAGCAATTGTTTGGTGTCTGAACATCTTTTTATTTCACAGTTTTTATAAGATATAGGTAACAATCAATAAATGTGATTACTGATTTTAAGAAAAAGAAATGTATATTACCAAGCATGCAGGAAAGTTTATCACATTTATGAATCAGTGGATTCCTGTCATCATACCTAAATACCTTTCAAAAATTGTTTTCTTTAGAAAAAAAAATGTTGCAACAAAAATATCTTGACATTTCATTTCCACTCTTGGCTCAGATATTCCAATTCCTTATCCCTGTCCCTGTTCAGAGATTTTGTTACCTTATCTAAAAAAGGCCATGGTCTTATTTTCAGCAACTTTGACCCTAGCTAACAAAAAATTCACTGTATCAGGAAAAACAAGTAGTCTTCACTAGGCATCTACTCGTACTAAAACGAGGATTGTTATCTCGATATGTTTTTTAATGATAATTCCAAAATATTTGGTAGGATCATTTACTCCATTATGCATTCAAATATTGCGGAATTCTCAATGCCGATTTTTTAAATCAAGGTTGCCACGTAGGGATATCTTTATCCAGCTGTAAACAAGGACTGCAGATATTTGGTCCTCTGTAAATGTCACTTATGCAGAGTAAATATCAATTCTACCATTTCCCATATAAATTGTATACCATGAATACAAATAGATTCATCCTTTGTACACATCCTACTTGTTTAATGTAAAACTCCTTGAAAAAATAAAAATAAAAAATCTGAGCCATAGGATTAGCAGTAATTCTGGCTAGTGTCCAAAATCCTAGGAGTAATACTTATGTTGATGCATACTCTCGGGTGTAAAATGACTTATTTCACACCGTAGAGCCATCGGAAATCTGGTCTTTCTAGAACTAAATGACACACACATTGCAACACAAATGTTCCTATGATGGTTAATATCCTGGAATACTTAAGAATCAGTTTGGTGGTGGAGGTGGGGGAGATACCAACATTTGGTTTAATCCTCCCAAATTGTTCATGTCAAATCCTCCTGGAGGAGGAGGAGGCGGTAAAGGGTTGTATCCTCCTGGTTGACTAGGTGGAGGAGGAGGTGGGGCCACCGGGTTGGGTGCATGGCCTCCCTGCTGCTGCCAGGGCGCTAGCTGTGAGGGAGGTGGAGGAGGTGCTGTTGTAGCCCAGGGGGATGGCGTTCCTGCAGATGTTGCAGGAGGGGGTGGAGGCACTCCTGTATCTGAAAAAGATTTGATCATTTAGTAACCAACTTTTGAACAACACTTTCATTTCAAATTGCAACAATAACATTTCTAACAATTCTAGAATTATCTTCCATTTGATTTCATTTCTTTGATACACTTTTACACAAGATATCATAGTCAAAATACAAATAATGGAAATGCAAGACCTCACTTACTCTGTGGTGGCTGCATCCAGGAGATAGAAGTTGGGGGTTGACTGCTTGGAGGCGGAGGTGGAGGGGCTGATAGCAGTGGAGGAGGAACTCCTTAAACAGAAAACAACAGCATTCTGTTATCAACCAGGTATGCTATAATACACTTCATGATAATGTGATAACCATGTGATAAGTTAATACCTAGTTCCTTACAGGCCCTGATGTTTGACCGTATTATATCTTTTCTCTGGGTACATAAATTCTATGTCTATAGTCAATATAACTATTGATTGAACAAAAATATTTTCTTCTCAGATCTATCCTGCAAAGGATTTAGTCAGTTTCTATGCAGCAGGAAATTCACCTAGACAAAATAGCAGAGGTCTGCTACAAGTAAGCACTATTTACCCATTACTGCTGTTGTGTTGGAACTGCTTGGTGTAGGTGCTGCAGTAACAGACTGCTGCCATGGTGGTGGCACTGGTCCTGCAGAAGAATTAAATTGTGATGGGGGTGGAGGACCAACAGGTGCTGGCATTTGCCCTGGTGGCATTTGCGTAGGAGGCATGGACCCCATGGAAATACCCATCCCAGCTGGGGGCTGCCGATGCATGAACTGCTGCTGCTGTTGTTGCTGGACTGGCTGCTGGTTCTGCTGTGACACAGGCTGGTTCATTCTCATCATAGGGGGTGGACCAGGTCTTGGCATTGTGTTCTGCTGCCATGGAGGATTTACTCCCTGTACACAAAGAATTTATGATATCATCAAACAAAATCAATAAATAATAATTCACTCATTGTAACAATTTACATATATAATGTCTCCTCACTTCTTGTGATGATTAAACTGTATATCAGTAGTAAGCACTGTACAGATAATGACAAAACTCCTAGTTAAATATCTAGCTACCTGTTAAAGGTGAAATATATTTCATTTCTTATATACATAAAGAAAATGACATCAACATCTTTCTCCTTTCACAAAAATGTCACTGTATTGGGTCCAATAAACATTACAATACCCCTCTCCTTCTAGTCTCCTCCCTTAAAAATTCCTTCTGTGCAGTATTGTAAAATTATCAATTGTTAATAGTGTTTTTTTTCTCTTTTACTTTTGCTGTCATTGGTGCTCTTAATCCACACATTTTTATCACATACCTACTGTGTGTAATAACACCTATTATATATGTTTACGTCATTTCACATGTTATATAGTCAAGCAGAGGCTGATCAAATGTTCCCATTAAAAATAAAGAATGAGAATATCGTTTTACCATTGGGTTTGGAGGAGGGTGGTTCAACTGGTGCCGGAAAGGTTGAGGTGGCTGTGGAGGGGTGGGCTTCTGTTGTGATGGGGGCGGTCCTTCTCCAAGTTCTGCCATCAAGGACATGTACTAAAGAAAAATTTAATTACGTTAATACAAAAATCCTTTAAGTAAATCCAAAAGAGTTGCTTACTTTAGAACAAATTAGAACCCCTAATTTCATTCATTCATCAAATCACTTAAAATACCGAATGTAACCTTTATAAATCTTGGCATTGCCAGACTACCAATCCCTAGTTAAACCATGATTTATACTTAACAAAAGATGTTTGATGGAAATCCTTTAAGGAATGAAGCCATCAGAATATGCACAGAAATAAACGAAACTTATTTCAGATGTCTTTGAATTTATTGTTTTATCAAAAACCCTCATCGAATGAATATGTTAGAGCATTGACCAAAATAACAAGTGACATTGACCCTTCAACATTGAAACTGTTACTTCTTTCAGATATTACAGTCACTTTAAGGTGAGTGGCGTTTGATAAAGTTTGTTTTAACATAACGGTTTTCAAAATATTGGCAAAAATGTATGTTACTCATATTATATTAGCTATTTTTGACAAATTGAGAAATGTACTTTATAACCTATAACGCCAAATTAAATTCTGCTGTCAAATGATCTACGAAAATATGCTCTTACCTCACTGTCCATCTTTGCCTTGTCTACCTGAGTGATGGCAGGAGTGGGTGTTGTCATTCTTAGTGTGTCACCAGGTCTGAAACAGAAAGTCACTTCGTGCTAATAAAAAAATCACTCAGCCTTATATAATTTTATTATTATTGCTCATAATTAAATGAAATTTGAAAATCATTTAATAACAATAATAATATTTAACTTGCCTAACCAAACATGGTTGCCTGTTAGCCATTTTTTGGTCTTTCCAATCAGTTACAAGATCAAAAGGGCAAAACTAGGGACCAGCTCAACCAGTGCTTTTCAATGAATAGTGATAACAAACCTTCACTGTAAAAATCCAATTGGCTGCTCGTTTGCATATTTTAATATTCTGTTCATTCCTAAAATCAAATGGGCATGACTAGGAACCAAAAGGAACCTACACATGAAATCTGAGAGAGATCCATCCTGTACCTTTTAATCCAGCACTTTTCAATAAATAGCAATAAAAAATTTGTTTATGCATCACTGACCATGGACATAAGGCAATCTGAAAAGCCCACCATCATCAGAAAGAAAATACCAGTATTCTGCATCTTCCACAGTCATAACAAAAAGGTATCATAAAACAACAATTTTGAAAACCAAGAACACAAAGTGTTCCAGAAAGAGTATGATAATGCCAAGGGTTACCATCAGAACCTGTTGCTAAGGCTATAAAACTCACCGTTTTGCCTTACAATCCTGAGCTATATGACCAGTGCCACCACACACAGAACAGATGATTGTGTTTGTGATAATTGTTTGGGCTTGCTGCAACTGCTTAAGTTTCCTGAAAAATAAGAAACACAATACTACTGACTTTCCTGCTTAAAAAATGACCAATGTTGTCTCTTGTAGAACTGATCACCTTTTTCATATTTAGAGCTTCATGTTTCAAAAAGATGAATCATTAGGTATACATTCCAGAAAAGATATGAAAGCAGATTGTGATTTTGCTACAAAGGCCTTTCAAGAGACTTTAGAATTTTACACCATTATCAAAAACCTGCTAGAAATCCTTTAACTTAATCTTATTTTTTTAAAACATAACTTAAAAGTAGGACTGCATTGATGATCTAAATAATCACTAGCAAATACATTATGGTGCCTAATTGTTGTTAATCTATTAAAAATATCATGTGCATTACTTATGACAGCATAATGTTTCTGAAATAGGCCAAAATATTACCGGTAAGAAAGTAAACATGAATAATGTTAACTATGAGGAGGCTTTATGCGGAGGCAGACCAAGCGTTACCACTTATGCAAAGTCAGCCATGTAAATCTTTCAAGGGTGTTTTAATTTTATATTACTGATGTTGTGGACTTTTAGTGTTGACTTCGCTAGTTTTGGACTTATGTATGCAAATGAATATGATAGGTGTATAGTCCACTGTACCTACTAGTAAATGATTATTGTGACCTGTAATTTGTCTTTTGTTTTTTTTTTTTTTTTTTGTTTCACACTATAGAGAGTTTATTTAAAGAACAATTCTGTTACAATTCTTGAAAGATTTTTTCCCATTTGTTTGTTTCCCATCAAGTTTATTGAATGTACTTACCACCCACCTTGTTCTAAAATTAACATGGAAACTAACATGGACACATGTTATGAATGATGATAGCCTTGAAGGGTAATAGTCAAGTTTAACTCATGTTTTTTTTGTCTTTTTATCTATTGAATTTATAAAGGTGTATCTACCACAAATCTGTTCCTTTCTATGGCAGTATTTCTTATTGCCAGAAATGACCTACTGACAAAGGTTCAAGTCAAAGGCTTTGTAACAATCACTTAATCATTGTAGCCTTTCATTGAATGACTACTTCCTACAGGCTCTGTAGAATTCATATGTCACTAGTGATAAGTCTTATGAAGGTGGTTTACAAGTTAACTACAAGGAAATTGGACTTACGCCAAGCCATCATTTTCCCTGAGCGTGCCATTGAGTAGAGCTAATTCACGTAGCTGTTGGCGTCGGAGATCATTCTGTCCTTCTGGAACCTCTATACCTTGGGTGATGATCTCCTTTATCTGTAGAACAAAGATGAAATATCAAGGTAATTGTCCCGAAAGTAATAGTAAATTCAACACCAATGCACAGAAGCCTGAGGATTTGGAATCTTACTTCGTAATACATTGAAAACTTCTAGTAAACAATTTAAACTAATGAAAATTATCTAGATACCTAAACACATACTCAAAAAAAGATTTATGCTCATCAGACAAACAGAAATATCTTATCTAAAATATCTGTTGATGGTTACTGGGATTTTAGTTAAGTAGAAAAATGAAGTATAGAAAGAGAAGCAAAAATCTCTGTACAATTACTTCTATTCCAAACATAAAAAGAGTTATGTATTATCAAACCTTTTCAACAGCCTTTTTCACATTTTCTGGATTGTTTGCAGTGACATAAGCATGTAAAGGTTCATCCTCTCCAGGAAGAGGTTGTCCATCTTTACGCCCGATCTTTCCCTCCTTCACAGACCCCTTTCCTCGAATAATAATCTTGGCTCCTGTCTAAATTTGAAAAAAGAAAAAAAAATAAAGCATTGTAAGTGATCTTTTTAAACGGAATCTGATAATGACTTTTAAATAATTTGAACAGTTTCTATATATGATCTTTTTTTCTTTGACTTACAATCATGAGACAATATAATATGATGGCTCAATGGCTGGTGTATTACTATACCTCTTTTTCGAGATTCTTAAGAGTATTTCCTCGAGGTCCTATCAGAAGACCGACAAAGTTAATCTCTGGATTCTCTTCCTGGGGTATCATGACTTTATCATTGACTCTTATCACTGGTGGCCTGAAAACATGAATGCCATGACAGTTTTAAGACAAGAATTCATAGTTTCATTCCATTAAAATTCCATAACATATACCAGATCTGATAAAGCTATTGTTAACAAAATCCATCTACTGTAAACCAGTTTTCTAATATTGCTACGAACTTTCACGATTTCATCATTACAATGTAAATGAATTCACTTTGCAAATTCTGAACTATCATAGTAACATTTGAAGGCGTCATATGGTCTTTATTAAAACCCTGTCGGAAGACCATTTTTCAGTCATTCATTCTACAACAAATAAGCTTATACATCAGGTGAGGGACGAAGGTCAGTTAATGATGTTCACCGATGAGAACGACTTCTGACACTTCATTTACCATGAATGTGGTACAATGTGCCAATGAATAATTCAACCAGCCTTATTAACTTCATAGTTATTTGAAGAAGGTTGATCAAGGATATCTAAAAACTTAAACTGGTATGGTTTTATATACAGGTGTCCTAATAATTGAAATCTAAACAGGCTACTCACTAACAACTTCACCCGAGATTTACCAAATATAGACTACAGATTAAGAATGGAACACTCAAGGAAAGAAAATTGTCTTCAACACTGCTATCAGTAACAGATTTATGAAGCACACTTAGGATGTATGACTTGTAAGAATACAAATAGACTCAAGATCAATTGCACGAAAGGTGAATTAGTATGTAATGTTATTCAAAAATAAAGTTTAACTATGAAAATTGGCCTTTACTATCTTTGTTTCAATTATCTGTGACTAATTTTTATAATCACCCTAGGTATGCTTCTATCACACAATCTGCATCTGCATGTATGTACCCTAACAATACCAATAAACTGAATGTTGGGTTAGGAATCGGCACCAAGCCCATCATTAATCCATAGTCACTTCAAGAAAACAAACATACAATATAAATTAACTTAATATTGGAATCAATATCCTTTATAGACATTTTTATAAAGGAGATGCTATCTAAATTATGTTATTTGTAACATACTTGTAATCCGCAGGAGGTTTGTATTCATCATTGAGGTCCATAGCTTCCTGAACAAACTTGTGACGTTCTTCCTCCAGTTTTTTTCTGGTTCTGTACTCACGAGTGTTTAACCTCTTTCCCTCATTGTTATAGATTGGCTCAGGTGATGGAGACCTAGAAAAAACAAACAGTTGACTAATATTACTCATCTGTGAGGGTATGAAACATTTTCTTTACCTATGTACCTCACTGGTAGCCAAAAATCTACCTAAATAACTTTGATTTGAAACCCTCAACACTGGCAAAATAATTGAGATGACGCTTTAAAAAATTGTGGCTTTCAATGATGTTTTATACAAAAAAAAACTTGCTAAAAAAATCCTCTGAATTAAATTCTATCCCAATAAGATAGATCCGACATCAACCATTTAGAAACTCATTGTTCTTCCAACATATTGGTACAATATCACACTTTTATCTGGTTGCATCCTGAATTACAATCATTTTGTTGAGATTGATACATCGTACTATGATTTCGCTTTTATATTTTTAACACCAACACTAATTTGACCACATGCCTTTTATTCTTCCTAAGTAACTATCTCAAACAGTAGAATCCACTTCCAATACTGTTTGGAAAAGAATTTCACACATGGAAAATATTCTGTACATGATTCTTATGTAACATTAAAAACAATTTATGTGTCGATAATATTCTTTTTGGAGCTTTTCTCATGATATTATTGTTTTTTAATTCAAATTTGAAACTATGTTTTTGACACTAAACCAAAAAATGAAAAATTTGACTCATTGTTATCTGGTTTAGATTCATGATCAAATTGTTCTTGACTAGCCAAAAGAAATCATTTTTACATGGAAGAATAACTTTATTAATTTTTGCTTTTAAATTTGCTTCATATTCTTGACTGCTTAAAGTTGAGATGTTTCAAAATTTTCAAGGTCTATACCAATGTGTGGTTGCTCCAAATTGGATTTACGATAAGAAAAATTTCATACACCAAATTATTTTATGTAAACAGGTAAAACTCAAACTAGAAAAAATCTTTTTACCGATGGGCTTCATATGTGTTGCTGTAAAGACACTGCCATCCCACGATGTACTCTCACACTATATTTATATTTATATATAAGTCCATACAAGCGACAGTATTTTCATGATGTTAAGTCTTTATGATGATTTTGTATAACTCATGTCATACTCTTATCACTTATGTTAATGAGAATTACTGGTAGTGGATGAGAAATAAGTGACATAATATTTCCCTAATAACATCACAACACTGCAAAGTTAAAATAACAATGAAAAAAAAACCCCAGATATTATATATCTGTACAATGAAATCTTTGAAACAAGCAATGTGAATAATTAGTTTAAGAAATTTACCACAACCGTTGTAGTTCACAGCTTTAATTATTTTTTTCAACATCTTCATAAAACCTTATATTTTTAAAAGAAATCTTCAAAAACAGATTTTCAAGACATTAGACCTTTTTTCAGTTTCAAAACATTTTTCTCACATACAAAATGTCTGATGACCATATCCTCATCACTTCATTTAAAAAAATCTACATTTATGTATCTCATCAATCAAAACATAATCAATTTCTTTCAGTCAAGTTACAGAAATATAATCACTATATATTTGTTCCTGTATTGCTTTAGATATATTTTTGTGCAAACAACAATATAAGCCTGTATATGCTATTGAACAGTATTGTTGGTATATTGGTTTGCTATCAACACAAGAATTGCATAGTGAAAATCGATCAATGATTCTTTTCATATATAAAGCTGAATGTCTATACATATATGGTAAAGAATACATAATGAAGAGATAATACAATTGACATAATGGATTAAATACACTTGACATACAGGATTAAAATGGTTACAACCAAAGCGTACACATTAAAAAAGATCTAAACAGTTAAACTATCAGTCTGAAAGGATCAAAAACACAATTAGCATATCAAAATCTGTAATACAATCGTTAATCATTAAAAAGCTGTTCTACAAAATATTCACATAGTAATACAGAACAAAATTCCAGTACATATACATTTATGCATGGCTACATTGTTTTTTCTGAAATATCAAGATTAAATTAAAACTGAAACCAGTCATGATAAAATACAAGTGCCAATTACAATATCTCTCCTTCTAGAAAACACAAATAGCAAAAAACCTGGTGTTCCTTTTTTTTGCCGGGTTTCTAAGTTTACATTTCTAGCTCAATATAGTTTTCAACCACAGGAGATATAAAGATAAAGTACTGACTAGTCTAAGGCATAATATAGGTGTAATGCTACAAAATGCAATTACCATGATACTTTTACCAAATGTTTGAATTTCTATTGATCATGATCTCTCAATAGCTACACCAGTGTGGAATTAAAATGTCAAAAATTAATAGAGAAATATGAATATCTGATGTTGCCTGGATTCATTAAAAAATTAATGAATAACACTTTGACAAACTTAAATCAGCATTGTTTGAAATTCGAAGTCTCCAGGTAATAGTGAATTTATGGCTAAATTTAAACACCAGGTCTACAGCTATTGTGAGCTTCAAAGAGACCTTAACCTTCAGGTGTTCATTTGTAGGTTGTGACTGTAACCTTCCAATATTCAGCCTGGAATTCACAGGAGCAGTCACTTTACCTTCCTACATTTGTATCAATTTTGTTCCAGTTTCCAAACATCATCAATGTGCATTCAAATTGGTGCCCTATAGAATATGATCAATAAGGTTATATACGATCCAGTATCTAATAATATGCAATTGATTGTGTCTTAAACTGATCTTGACCTTTCACCTCAGCTGCAAACATAAAAGGCAGCAAATTTTAATTTTAACCATGGGTAAATATCAGCAAATGAGAGATTTTGGAGAAATATTGCAGATTCTGAAAGGGTCTAGTTAAAACATGTACATCAATTTGATGAAAAATGATGGAAAAATAGAAAATGCATTATCCAGAAATCACCTGTAAAGTATCAGGATACAGATTCTAGCTGCCTCATAAAACACCTGGGCTGTTTTCATCATGTCCATATCACTTGTTTGGCTAGAATTATTTGTTTAAGAGAGAAGTAATGACCTACTCATCTTAATCTTTCTTGACAAAAAGAATTTTGAGGCCTGTATTATCATGTGCAGATCTGTCTGGATTTAACCATGAATTGTCACATTTAAATTATAGAAATACAAGTCTGATCCAGTGATTGCATAACACACTGTTTCCTAGTATTAAATTCATACATAAAGAATACTTTATTTATATCATACAGGTTGTAGATAAGTTTGTTGTCAAAAAATAAAAAAGAAAAGAAAAAACATTGCAAATATCAATAAAATATTAATGCGTTTTTAGTATAAGTAAAAAGTTGGTAATGTTAGAATTACAAACATGTCTTTCTACACCCTATGTACTAATAGTCTAGTATAAAATCGATGAACAGAAAAAATACAGCAAGAGGCCCATGGGTCTGAACGGTCACCTAAGGTCTTCAGGTCTTTGGACAGTTTTTGAACCTGTCCATCAATCCCAGCTTTGGGGCAGATAGAACAGCACTGATATTAGCATATTTACAAAGTTTGTATTGTTTCTAATTATGAATTCAATTCAATTAAATAGAACTGATATAACTACCTTTTGTATAAGTTTAGTATAACCCCCTGTGACCTTCATTGAACATCAAGGTCATTCATTTGAATAAACATGACAGCCCTCATATCAGCATGCTACAGGCCCAATATTATGACCTTGAGTAATTTTGTTATTTAGAATAAGTCATTTTAAGATTATTAATACATCTGACCCCTGTGACCTTGAAATAAGGAGAAGATCATTCATTTGAACAAACTTTGTTGCAAGTTATCCTGGAATGTTACTGGTCCAATATCATGACCCTGGACCATTTGATTATGGAAAAGAAGTTGCTTAAAAGATTTTGATCACATTTGGCCCCTGTGACCTTGAAAATAGGTCAAGGTCATTCATTTGAAAAAAAAAAACTTTTAGCCCTTTATACAGCATGCTACTGGCCCAATATCATGACCCTGGAACATTTGGTTATTGGGAAAAAAATCGAAAATGCAAATTTAAATTGTTCACGACACACACTGGACGACACCGGACAAAGGCGATCGCAATAGGTCACTAGAGACTTTGTCTCAGGTGACCTGAAAATTCCTATGAAAACAGAAATTTTAAGTTACTGCTATAACTTAACTAATCAACATGTCTTTCAGTCCCCCTTTTTTACAAAATATACACAATACCATATGAAAGCCACATTTTCTACATAGTTTTCTTACCTTATACCTAAATATTTTTTTTGCAAATCATTATGGAAAGAAACTTTTTATACAAAACATAAATGTATTTTTCTTAATCTGCAATAACAAAAAAAAATCTTTAAAAATATCTATTTCTTCCAATGTGATACCTATAAATAGTTCAACAACTAATTAAACAAATTTACAGAACTGACACACATGTATTGTTTCTTAAACTTCACCTATTTGTTGAACTTGTTCTTTTAAGCAAGAATTCAATGAATTGCAATAACTGATATCATCTTCAACCTTTGACAAAATAAAAAGTCACTTTTCAAAACAGAAAATGTTTGCTGGTCCTAGACAGGATGAAATCACTTTCTTATAGCAAAATAAGGATGTAAAATTATTGCATCATGCAATTTGATTACAACAATTATTGTTTCTCTATAATTATATAGTTTAAAGTGTTGTCCACTGTCCATCTTACAAATCTGAACATGGAAAATGAGAGTATAAATAACCCTTGGACTTTTGAGATGTAGCTAAGCAGTTCAGGTTGCTACAAATACTTTGATACCTTGGATACCATACACTTGTCAAATACATGTATAAATGGATTAGATTAAAATCAAATTGCAAAACTTACCTTGATACTGTAACGATAGCCATCAAAGGAGAGCAGATTTGGAGACATCAACACCTCAGACTTTCTAACTTGAATTATTTTTGAAAATTTGCATTACTTTAGTCTCACATAATATTGATTCATATCATGTTTCTTCAATTATGTTGAAATGTTTCATGAATGATGATAATTAACAAAGGTTTCCTCTATCAAGATTACTCTAACAGGAAAACTACTGCTTATTCAAGTTACAAGGCATTCATTTACCTGGTAAACATAAACTTAAATTTGAAAATGGAATTGGTAAAATCTAAGCAGTCCATGGAAAACTATATTTCTCACATTTCGTAATCAGAATTTTGGAAGAGATCTGGATATAAATGTGTAATGAAATTGCCTGCAAAATGTTGTATAACTTGATCCGAGGACTTTGAAATTGAAGCTCACACTAAAGATATTAAAAATTGTTCTTCCTGACTAATGTAGTACATACCTTGCCATCAGAATCACCGGGTCTTCAGAGTGTCTTAAATAAAAACATAAATGTTTTATACCATACCTTTCTGTAGACCTATACTAGGGAAGTCCATCTGATGGTCCAACTTTCTTACTAGTTCCCTATCATAATGGTACTTACCTGTAATATCTATACCAATTATATCACCATCAGGTCAAGATTGTGTTTTTTTTTTTTTTTTCTTTTTTCTCTGAGCATGTTTAACTTTAGATATTCAATTTAATTTTGAAAACACTGTGTAGTTGTGATGGATTCTGAAAGGAAGGGGTTATTTTCTAATCCTATCCTACACTGAAAAATGTAATATTATGTAACATGATCAGGGATCACATCTTAGGATTCGCTACACCTGCGGAGAATACTTGTAGTTAGGTTTGATGGTTTGTCTTTGTGCTGTGTTTGTATACACAGGTCTGCACCTCCATTGTCTTTGAAAAGAATAATTTATTATCAGGGAGAAAATGTTGGATTAGACAATAAACATCTAGTTACACTATACCTGTATGTAGGGTTAGAAATGGCACAAGTTATATACCAAGAATTCTTATACAACATATTCATATTATCAATTCATAAGATTTCTATTTTCTTGTTAAGAAAACATCAAAATTTAATTTCTTGTTCTTGATATTTTGTACACCTCCCACCATCCCCAACCCTCCAAGAAAACTTTTTAAAGTTAAAATAAATATCAGCACCTTGCGTAACTTTTTTAATATTCACTTTCATGATCCTCTATTTTTCACCCTATGAAACATCTAACAAAAGTTTAATTTCTCAAATGTCATTACATGTATTTATCAAAATGCATTTATCCATTTTTACCAATTTAAATGGCAACATCACTCCAATAATTGAATTTTTTGCATAGTCTTTGAAATGAAATGGTTTGAGCTTAATCAAAATACTGTGGCTTCTTTTATTCAAAATAGATGATTCTTACAAACTAATATTTGGAATAGTTTTTTTTTTCTAACTTAGAAATAAGGTTCGTTTTGGTACATGTATCATATTATTAACAGTAAAACCCAAATTCCTAACATTCTGCCACACTCGATTAGTTATTTTTCCCTTTTCTTAAACAAATATCAAAAGTATACTATCATTTTTTTTTCTATTTCAAAGAAAAAACACTATGAATAAATATTCTTGGCAAAATTAAAATCGAAAAAGTTTTGTTCCTTTTTTTCAGCTGTACATCATTTTCTTTATAAGTATAAATTTTGGTGATCTTCATCAATTTAATATGATATTATCTGCATCTTGTGCCATTTCGCCCTAACATCGACTTTGGACATCTATGGTGACCGCTCTCCTGTTTTGCAAAGAAGATTGGTTATTCGGTTACAGGACAAAACTGGTCTGATGTGGCGAACCAAACCTGTCTTCTGGATTGGGTGGTATCCCCAGGTCCCCTGTCCGCAGCCTGCGACTAATCTCTTCAATTTGGAGGTGCACTGGAATGCAAGCGGTTAGATTAACAATATATATTGACACAACCAGATATTTCCAAATCACACTTCAGCCACCAGCTTATTTACATAGATAAGATTATCTAAGGGCCAGAATATGTTCCTTGTTTTTCTACACATTTATTTACAACAGCATTATTCATATAAAGCTCAGAAAAAATAACTTTTTTAAGATATGGGATTCCTTATTATTTATTTCTTATTTGTTTATATTTCAAATTATAAAATTTTTAAATGTGTCCAGAAATTCTAACATACAGTATGCTTGATATGACATTATTTACTGGTATCTGTTTAGATTGTGTTTTGTATTGAATTGCAAATCTGAAAACTATAAAGACAAATTCTCTAATTACAGTAAATTAAGTTCATTATTCCTAGTAAGATTGATGAGATTTTAAAATTAAGAGTTTACATACATTTACAGTTATTGATAACATAACTTTGCACTTGACATTCTAATTATCCTTCAGTAAAGGGATTAAAGTAAGTATATAGCTTAGTGGTTTTATATAGTGATAAGTCAATTCAATAAGATGACTGATCGATGACAAATTCTTAATGTATTTACCTGGTCCTCAACTCTTCTCAAATATTTCTACACATGTCTGTTCATGTATCAGAGATTTAGTAATATTGCAAATTTTACAAATTCAATCACCTTACTTTCCCTGACAAATATTTCAATTTTTCAGAAGACATTTTCCGAGCCCTCAGCAGGAAAAAACAAAACACAATAAAATAGGTACCATCTATAATGTATAACTTTATGAGAAGTAACTTAAAGATGTATAAAGATCTGGTGACCAAAATTTCTGAAATTTAGCAGTTGTTCTGGTTAAGATTTTTTGAAAGATTTCAAAAAGTACCTTAAAAGCTATAAATCAATATGTTGTGGGCTTAAGATGTTTATATTATATTTTCAATCAGTTTTGAAGACTTTACGCTTTGAAAAATAAATATCTGGGGATATTTTTCATAATAAAAAATGAGGTTGCTGTGCTTTGTCTTTTTCAGAATTTTCACCTAAATAGCTCTTTTTCCAAGATCAAGAAACAAGCTTAATATTTATTTTCAGGTCCTAAAGATCAAAGAAATTGAGTCAACCATGTCGGAGTTCAAAAAGGTGAGATCTTGGATTTGGATGTAAAATCTAATTGAAATCTACTAAAGACTTTCAGAGTTATACCAATGAGCATTATCTTTCTGAAGGAAAAAGCAATGAAACTTTTGACATATCTCACTAAAATTTCTAGACTGTCACATAAAGCACCATATTTCAGAATATAGATACAACTATAGACAAAAAGTATATATATAAACAAGGCAGCCTAAATTATTACATTGGTAATTGTTTATATTCAGTAATGTCCTACTTCCAGTTAAACATGTCCTTTACACACTTGAACAGCCTTATACAGTAATTCTTTTATCTGATTTCTATGAAAATTCTCTTGAATTCACTAAGGTAATTCAGTCCTTTTTCTTTCATTTCATTGAACAGAAAGATAAAATCCTGTGTACTGTGTGTTGTGTACCTGGCGCTATAAAGCATTTCCATCTGAGATGACTGATCATAATCATAATGGAAATATTAGGTTGAAAATCTGCCCCTTTCTTAAAATCTGTTTGTTCTGTGCAAACATAAAAACTGTTAACTTGTAAGACATTAAATACTGAACAATTCAGACTATGATTATCAAAACTTCAATGTTGTTTTATGATCATCCCAAAAACTTTCTTGCCTAAATATCATGGTGTCAAATTGCAAATTGAGTGAAATATTATTCTTCACAGTTCATGCTGCTACCTGATCTATTGCAAGACATGGCAACACCAGCTGATATATCCATTCTCTACACAATTATACAAATTGATGAATTGTCAAGTTCTAATTCCTTGATAATGAAACTGAAAAATATCAATCAACAATATTATTCACATAAAACACCATGAATCAATTCATCCCTTTCAACTGATTCCTGTTTACAAATACTTGTTAAGTACAGTATTCTGATCAAATTTTTAATATCCTTCAACCCAATCCTTTAATCTAAAGTACATACCCCCAGTACATAGAGATTAAAGGAATTCAAACCATATATATTATTGCTACATTTTTAAATGTATAGTATCAGTAATTTTTATTATACTTTATGAAGTATTTATGACAATTTATGGAACACTCATTCCTAAGCTGATGGCATGTACATGTGATCAGGACCAAAACCTCTACAAATAAACTGAACAATATAACATTAGATCTGCTTCTGGAATCGGAGGAAACTAATGATTTTGTTATCAAAATGAGCAATTTGAAAAATAAATCAAATATTGCAATAAAATTAATATAGGATAAATTTGAAATTCATTATCTAAAAAGATGGATTTATGTACAGTAAATTTTCCAAAACTTTCAAATTCATGAATAATACAAAAACTGAAATAATCAATGGATGTATAGGTTTGATCAAAGGTTTAGGTACACTAATGAACAGAGCACAAGCATTTTGAAGTTAAAGAGATGTTTTGACAGATTTAATTCACAATATGAACAACATCAACAACAAGAAATGTTACAAATATCCACAAAACTTCCTGTCCTACAAAATTAAATGTTTGGGTAACATTAACCTGAAATGTTTGTATTAAAAGCTGAAACCAGATTTCTTGTTAATATGTACACTTATGTTTTGATAAATTGATATATATATATCATATACATTACAAACAGGAGATTTACACAATGATATGAATTGCATCAAGAACATGCTCTGAAAAGGAAGGGAAATTTTCATTACAGATTTGATCTTCACTACACTTACCACACATTATTTGGAGCGAAGCATGCTAAACTGTTAAAAGCTTACATGAAATCTTACATGAAGTGTAGCTTTAAATGTGTTCTTCTCAACACTATCCTTTGTTGAAATTGAAATTCATACATAAATATAAAGCATTTTGGTGTTGGATTTGCTAGATTGAGTTGATATTTGTTTTCAATGCAACACTTACAAAGATACTGTTTTTCTTGGCTGGTGCTCATACCAGTTGGAATTACTGTTGGCATGCCTGGAATTACGGTCTTGTCTACTTCTGTATCTGTTGCCCATCGGCTCTTCCTCTTCCTTTTCCTATCTGATTCGCTACTACCCGATCCATTGGACCAACCTCCTGTCCCTATAAACAAATAACCATATTTTAATGCATTTCAGGTTTCAGGACAAAAATCAGAACATTCTATATGTATAAATATAATCAACAATTCTTCATTGATATACTTCTGAATATTACTATCACAAACTATTTCCTAAATACAAGCCACATTTCTAATTAAACTAGCTACCTAAAGAATTTGGCCAAAGACAATATTTCTCTAATTTAAGTCATGCTTGTAACATACTGTCTCATTTTATTTGGCCAAGGGATCTCTGGTCTGTAGATTCATCAGTTATACCTTATAGTTTAAACAGTGTAAAAAAGTGATGAGGTATATTATACCATTTTAACACTGAAAATAATCAGTGTTTCATAAATAAAGTCATAGATCAGTGACCATTTACTGTTTTGTGGTTTTAAATTTGAGTTGTGATGTTTGACAGGATAATGTTGGGAATAGAAATAAACCATAAGTCAGTAGATGATTACTCTTACCACTGCATTGAAGTCAAATTGTGTATATGTCATCTAAAGGTATTTTCAAAGTTAATATATAAGCATTCAGTATCTGATTTCACTGCCAGCTCAGTGTCCGACTAAATGAAATCTGACAATTTAATGTCTGGTGACAGTTTTATGGTATCATATATGGTGAATCATACACCATATTAAAAACAAAATTTATCTGTTGATTCAGACCACTCTCAGTGAGATAAGTGGAACGATTTGGAGTCCATCACAAGTTTCTTGAAATTGGGTCATTTTGCTAGGCAGATATAGTTACAAACCTTCATTAGTTTATGATAGGGAGGTCGGCGACGGTCATTTACAGGCTTATTACGTTCTGTTGGAGCAAAAAACCCCATTTTTTCGGGTTTTTCACACTAAAATTAAAATATCAAATAAGCGTAGTTGGGGGATAGAAATATATCAAAATAAAGTTTAAGACTTCTATTTTCTTATTTTGGTAATTATTTTGTAATAAGATATAAATTCCTACCATTGCATGGAGTTCGAAGTGAAGTCGTTTCCAAAAATTCGGCCGCCATGTTGATTTATGTGTCAACAAGTGTGCCAAGTTCAGAATTAAATCCGCTGGCTATTACTGGACCAATTTTTACCATTAATGGCTTAAAATTTAGGAAATATAGTCTAGTTTTTGAAACTGAGTGATCTCTTTTGAAAAAGTATAGGGATCACACTGTAAAAAATATAAATTTGCAAAACAGTGTTTTTTTACCGTGATATCACTTCGCCGCGAACAGGGATCACTCGGATTATGGTAGCCTGGACCTTCATCTAGCGATTGGTAACCAAGGTTTCAACAAAATAACAAGAGCAGCCAGCGGAAATCATTGGATATTTGAATGACTTTTGCCACAATGTTTTGTTCGTATGAGTTATCGAACTTTGCTGCTGCTGCAGGCCGGGTGCAAATCCTCCCGACCCGGTAAACAAAATTGACCAATGGGACATCAGTATGTCCATTCGGAACATTTTGGGGTTTTTATGTTAAATATCAAAGGAAACATTCGATTTTCTTTAGGATTTATATAAAAGTATGTTTTAGAACAAAAGAAAAAACGGGGAGGGGGGGGGAATAGTTGCTGTGGTTAAGAAAATATGTTTGGGGGTATAACAAAAACATTTTCTGAACACAGAACCATACTTTACTTTTCTTAATCTTTTAAGTCACAAATACAAATTATTTTCCATGAAATAAATGAATGAACATTTGATGAGAAAACAATTTTCTCTGTAAAATATCATGATTATACTCCCTCTCAACTAGCCCATTCTTCTTAACTCAGAAAGTTGATTTTGGTCTATATCTTGGTTGTTAAATTCCTTCTGAATGTAAGAACTGCCCTTCTTTATCAATGCAAGGGGGTATTGTTGAAGTGAAAGAAAGTTGTTTTATTTATTTTGTTGAAATTCTTTATATTTTTAATTGTTTTGCTAATTTATGACACTTTTTAAAATCTCTTTTATTTATTTAAGTTTTATTTTACCTTATTTTGGTTTCTTTTTAAGTTGTCAAATTTTTCAGAGGAAGAATAATAATTGTGATTTATTTTATTTAATTTTTAATCTAAATAAATCTTTTTCTAAAAAAAAAAATTATTTTGATTTATTTTCTTTTTAGTTTTTTTACACGCTCTGATATACTGATTTTCATTTTATTTTTGGTAAGTGTGATAAGTTTTATTTACAATCCAATACACTTTTTTATTTGCAGTTTGATAAGTATGTGATGATTGTTTTTACTTTTTTTTCAATACTATCAATGAATTAATTAGATAACAATTTTTATGACCGTTAAATTTTAACATTGATGTTAAAAATAACTTATGCTAGATAATGACAGATTTACCTATTTTTTGTGCTTTTATCTTAATCTTAAGGATAAACTTATAAAGACAAGAATAACCGTGTTTCAACTCTTAAGGCTTATAAAAGGTGAACTAATATCAACAGGAACATTTTTTCTCAAATGATATTGTTTGTAGGAGTAAAAAAAAAAATTGGGGGGGGGGTTCACCTTCTGAGAATGTTTGATTTTGGGGTAGGGCTAGGTTTTTATAGAAATACTTGGTGCTGTTAATAGATAGAGGTACAAATATGTGCTAGTTGCATTCTACATATTTCTATCTTTAAAATGATACCTTATACACCATACAATAGTTTATATTCTTCTCGCATTTCATGATTAAACACAAATTTCAGGTTTTATCCAAAATTTTCAAAACGTAGAAAAACAACCTTAAATGTTGCAAAAAATTGTTGTTTTGAGTTAAAACTTGATCATTTGTATGTAGAAATAAGCATTCTTATATAAATTGTCATTTTATTACCACCTGGGAGTAGTTGAAGATCTTTTTGTCCTGAAAAAATGTTATTTTTCGTCTTTTCGGGGCTAAAAATATACCTCTTTGGCAGCTGTATTTTGGAGCTGTTGCTTTCAAAAAAATTTTTTAGGGGAAATATTACATATTTTCTGATAAAACATACAAAGATCAACAAGAAACACCATATAAAAAAAATTCCAGATTTTTTTTGAGCTTTCTGCATCAAAAAAGTCATTTTTTCTGAAATTTTCGATTTCGTCTCAAAAAGGGGCTGCGCAGGGTATTTGATATCAAAATATTAAAAAAAATAATGATCTTAAACCCTAACTGGAATTTTTTTTCAAGAAAATGCATTGTGATCTGTAAAAATAAGGAGATTTGGATAAATTGGGTGATTACTTTTTAAGATAAAGTTCTTCAAAAGTGGTAGTCTAGCAAAGAGGGGTGCCGACACATTTCTCAAAAAAACTAAGTCCAAACGAATAATTCCTCATGTTCAGCTGCCAATTTCTTTTTTATCTGTCCCCACCTAAACTAAGTAAATGTTTCTTTTTGAAGCTTAAGGGGAACTTGGCACCCTACAACAATCAGACAATACATATCATAACCACATTTTCAGATATAAGGCCTCAAACATGCCTCTTTTAGGGACTATTTGCTAAAAACAGAAAAAGGGTCGCTTTTCGAGGTACAAAAATTGATGTAACTTTTGAACCGCTCAACCGATTTCCAAAATTTTTGCACCAAAATTCCTCTTTCTTTGAGTTTTGTCCAAAAAACATGTTTTAAAATGTTTTCTAGGTGGTTCATTTTTTGAGCTGACCTCCCTATTTATGAGTGTATTGACAGACAATGCTACCAGTTCCCATGTTTAGAGCAATTGTCATAGGTGAACAGATTTACCTGTGTTCTATTTTTAGCCATACTACAAGCAGATGATAAACAACGGAGGAGATAAGTTTGTGATTTTTACAAAAAGCAAGACAACTCAATCAATAGCTTTTGTGTGAGAATGTGAAATGTTGCATTGGTTATTGGGCCGTGTCATAAATATACCATTTGACTATGAGTGGTTGTGCCCAACCTGATATACTAGTGACACTAAAGCATACTCGAGTATTCATGCCCCATAATATGTGAGGAATATCGTTCAAGCACGCCAACTTCAAATTTTAAACTATTGGACAATTCATAAATTTCCCATTCAGTCAAACATGTGATTAATACATTGCGGGTTCCACATTTAGCTGAAAAACATGCAATGCGGAACACAAGACCAAACAAAAAATCGTTATGAAATGTTTTCCTGATAAAGAGACAAAATCTCCAGATGCAATATGATGATAAACACTTATTTGACATATAATTACCTAAATCTGCAGGCCTCTTCCCCTGTGGTGTAAACATGTTCCCAAAATTATGCTGCTATGTCGAACGCTAACTTGTTAGCCTACCAGCATAGAAAATGGCGGACGTATCGCCGACGTCAAGTTGTACCAAAATCGGCGAAGTCAAAATAGATGCATAGGAAACTGAGCACAAGGACAAACTATTTTGAAGATGACACAATTTATTCATACAAATATTCATCAAATATACTTTTTTCACTCTTTAGTAACACATTCATCTCTAAACATAATTATCAAAATACCGTATATGCCGTTCCAATATATAATGTATTTCTCAGCTGTCTAATACATTCTAGAAACTTTGTTGCGTTTATTACACCAATTGCTAATAATCTCTAAACTATTTTTTAAAATAGTTTTGCTTTCTTATTTCATGTATATGCCAGTTCTCTTTTTCATCATAATTAACTTTTTCGCTGATAAATAGAGGGTCTAAACAGTAATACTTTAACTTGAAATAACGAAAGAGAAAAAAAAATAGTCTCTAAACGTTGACACTGACTGAGGAAGCCGAATGATGCAAAACACGTGAAATCTGTTTGTCGGAAAAGGAAAAAAGCGATTATGGTGAAGGAACAATTCCGAGAAGCCGACGTGGCTAAGAAAATGTAATTTGATAGTGATTTATGCGCTTGACGCACTTGCTCGGTCTTTCATATATGACAACATCATCTTTTCATTTAGTTCACCTGTCTTCTGAATCTAAAGCACAGGGGCATGGAAATCAAAGGAAGCATATTGTCGCAGTCGCTTTGGCTTCTGATATACTATATGATCAGTTGAATATCTGAAAAACTAGAAATGGAGTAAAATGTTATGTATCGCAGAATGTTTGAAATACAGTTTAAATGTTTGCTACAGTAGCACATTGGTTACTAATGTACTGTACAGGTTAGGCACAGCCCCTCATATGGATAATAGTCTTGTATTTGAGAGATAGTTATCGCTTTGAGTAACTAGTTAGTTCCTCAAATGCTATACTGAATCGATGACCTAGGACATGTAAATAGAGGGAATGAGACACATTCTCTATGTTCTAGTAACTCTTTTACGTTTAAAAAATGAGACGACTCCTTCAGGTTTTGAGTAATGGATATAGGTGCAAATTGGTGTTACTTCAACCAGTTGCTGAGGGATTTTTATTTTTCCTATATTTCTAATTTTGTTGTAGCTAAGGCCATTTATATATATCAAACTTACATTGTTTCAAGCTATATGACATGTCGTTTGTTTTTTCCCCACTATGAACATTGTCAGATATGTACTGGAAAACAGTGTAGGAAACAATACTAGCTGCTGGCGCAAAATTATGTGATTTTGATGTATATGCAGACAGGAATGAATTGAGGATGTGGGGGTCAGGAGCCCACAGCTCATGGGCTGAAATCTGTGTAGGGGGTGTATATTGCCTTTTCAGAATCATTGGTAACAGCATGTTGGATCATTTTTGCATTGAATGAGCAAAATTTTATGATAGAAAATTTGACCAAAATAATTATCAATAACGTCATTCTAAGCATTTCATGGAACCAGGTCTATCAAGGTTATTTTATTATATTTTGGTTTTTTTCCCTTCTCAACAGAAGCCATGTGACCTTTGGATTGTTAAATTCTCATCAAATGCAGCAGATGTCCCATTTACATGTTGTCAGTAAAACTCTGTACAACCAAGATGGCAGCCGGAAACCTGTTCCACATGGTGTACTTGATCATAAGATGGTGAGTGGAAATCCCTAAACAGGTGTATCCACACTTTTACTTGTCTTTTCTCTCATATTAAGATCACCCTATGAGGTCAAAGGTTTTATTTATTCATTACCTTAGACAGGCAAACCACCCTTTTTACTTGTGTGAGATTTCTTTGTCACATCTTAGGGATTGGATTCACAACCTCCAGTCCCCTCACCACATATGGTAAAAATGGAACCAGCCTGGGGGAAAAAATCTTTTGATTTTTTATTAGACATGTAAGAAAATATGAAATTTCACTGTTATGCTCCCTGATGCATTTGTAAAGCAGACCATTGAATCACTCCAGGAAAACCCCATGACTTTAAATAAATTGAGCAATTAATGATTTTGCTTAATTGAGTCATTATTAGTGTAAGTAACCACTATGTTGTAAATTATTTCAGGGCACAAGTGAGAAAGATAATAACTGTGATACATGTGGAAAAGGATTGGCAGATTGCACTGGACATTTTGGTTACATTGACCTTGAGCTGCCTTGCTTCCATATTGGATATTTCAGGGCAATCATCAATGTTTTACAGATGATATGCAAGGTAAATAACATCCTCTGAGAAATGGAAGACAGTTAGAAAATCATACAGTTAAAAATTCAAACATTTAGGAATTTCATACAATTAGAATTCAAACAATTAGAAATTCAGACAATTAGAAATTCATTTTTTGAGAAATTCATACAATTAGGAATTCATACAATTACAAATTCTGACAGAAATTTGTACAATTAGAAATTCATTTTATGAGAAATTCTGACAATTAGGAATTCATTCAATTAGAAATTCAGACAGAAATATATACAATTATAAATATGTACAATCAGAAATTCAAACAATTAGAAATTCTGACATTTAGGAATTCAGACAATTTAACTTTCATCTTGAGATTAAAAAGTTAATATCTTTTGGTAGGATTGGGTGTCAGTTTTCAAAATGTAATGTGTTAAAAACACTTAAATATAGATCAAGAAAATCACTTATCCGTAACAAAGAACAAAGACTGAAATATATAATCATGAAATATACAGGAGTGCAGTGGAATTCTGCTTCAATCAGAGAACAAGACACACTTCCTGGAAAGCATCAAACGACCGCTCACCTACCTTCAATGCAAGGCCATGAAGAAAAAGATTTATGATAAATGCAGGAAAGTGTCCATTTGTCCATCCTGTGGTGCATACAATGGTAAGGAATACAATGACTATTTGTATCATTTCCAACGATATTTGGAAGTAAATTCCAAGTGTTTATAAAAGGAGACAGTTTATAATGTGATAATGTTACATGTTATTCCAGGATTACTGGATTTGTTTAGGTCTATTCCAGAAAAACATCTATCCCACGCCAGGATTCTAGGTTTTGTTTAGGTTAAGGTCTATTTCAGAAAAAACATCTATCCCACACCAGGATTCTAGGTTTTGTTTAGGTCTATTCCAGAAAAACATCTATCACACACCATGATTCTAGGTTTTGTTTAGGTCTATTCCAATAAAACATCTATCACACACCAGGATTCTAGGTTTTGTTTAAGTTAAGGTCTATTCCAGAAAAACATCTATCCCACACCAGGATTCTAGGTTTTGTTTAGGTCTATTCCAGAAAAACATCTATTCCACACCAGGATTCTAGGTTTTGTTTAGGTCTATTCCAGAAAAACATCTATTCCACACCAGGATTCCAGGTTTTGTTTAAGTTAAGGTCTATTCCAGAAAAAACATCTATTTCACACCAGGATTCTAGGTTTTGTTTAAGTTAAGGTCTATTCCAGAAAAACATCTATTCCACACCAGGATTCTTGGTTTTGTTTAGGTCTATTCCAGAAAAACATCTATTCCACACCAGGATTCCAGGTTTTGTTTAAGTTAAGGTCTATTCGAGTAAAACATCTATCCCACCAGGATTCTAGGTTTTGTTTAGGTCTATTCCAGTAAAACATCTATTCCACACCAGGATTCTAGGTTTTGTTTAGGTCTATTTCAGTAAAACATCTATTCCACACCAGGATTCTAGGTTTTGTTTAGGTCTATTCCAATAAAACATCTATTCCACACCAGGATTCTAGGTTTTGTTTAGGTCTATTCCAATAAAACATCTATCACACACCAGGATTCCAGGTTTTGTTCAGAGATGCCGCCCTTAAGGTGTAAAATAAAATTGATAGTTTGCTTAGAAGTAATAGGCTTGAAACCAAACCATGGATGTTTTACTGTAACAGCCTTAATTTGAGAAAATGTATGATGAAATTGCGAACAATATGTGCCAAGACTGTACTTTATATTATATAATCTTTTAAAATAATGTTTGAATACAAAATATTGAGATCCTGATAATAAGAAAATACAAACATATTATAAAATGAAAGATAACAAACTAGGAGGAATACTATTTTCTGTGGTGATAAAGCTCTGGCTAGATTTTTATAAGCTTATTTTCTCAGCCCCATTGTTTACACTTATTCAGTGGTCATAGTTTGAAACTATGGTATCCTTTATATGAGATCATGCCTAGAAGTTATTCAATCTTTTACTACTGATAATTTTATAGGTATGGTGAAGAAGTGTGGGTTGTTGAAGATCATCCACGATAAATACAAAACTGGACATAAGGGCAATGAAATCATCCGTTCCGACTTCCTATCATCTTTTCAAGATGCAGTGGAGCATGATAGGGAGATTGAGCCTCTTTTGAGCAAGACTCAGGTACAGAAAATACAACATGCTTGATTATTTCATATATTTATTTATTTATGCAGGATTTTAACAATTGCATTCTTCAAGAAAAAAAACACTGGTATTGTGTCAAAAATTTAATTTCTATATATTTTCATGGATATGTAGATTTTTTAAAAGAAACATAAGCTCTGAAATGAAATCTTTGAAATGGCATTGAAAAATCAAAAGCAACATAATTGTAAACTAATGCGTTTTTGTTTTTGGTGCTGTTAAAGGTTATACTAAATCCAGTCATGGTGCTGAAGCTGTTCCAGAGAATCTCTGATGAGGTCAGTATTATCTTATAGTAATAAGTACATTTGCAGAGTCTTTGTTTTGTTCAGTGCCATGTTCAGAAGGACCAAATGCTTATTGGCCAACAGAAGATGGGGATGTTCTTTTAGGAAGTACCATTTAATTTAAATCTATACAGCTGATTTTCTTATACCATATAATAGAACATTTTACCAGGGATTGCAAATGAAAACTTTATTTGCAAAAAAATGTTAAATTCAGAAATTTAAACAGATTGTACTGTAAATAAATTACATGAATTGTCCTTATACCTCTACCATTTTGTTCTGTGTTATCAGTTTGCCTTTCAATCTGTGTGCTATTTGACTTATATCTGCCAATCTTTACATCATTTCCTCCAGAAATTGTTGTTAATTGCTTTAGGACATGCCACTGCTGATGATGAATTCAGATATTGCTCGACCTGAAGACCTCATCCTTACAAGAGTTCTGGTACCACCTATTTGTATTCGGCCATCAGTACTCTCTGACCTCAAGTCTGGAACGTAAGAATATATTTCCTATTATTATTTAAAAGCTACTCCAGAAAGGACCCTCACAGGTGTAGAATTTGGGCTCCTGGTACTAGTAACCTGAATTGAAATGTGATAATCTTAGCAAGTTCTTTGGTAGTTTCTGTATATGGTAGAATGATTTTCCACTCAACATTAGTGCCATGTTAATAAGATTTAGGTTGGGTTTTTGATCAATTTACTTACATTGAAAACATAAATTATTCCAGGCATTATCCACTGTAATGAACTATTATTGAGATGTTTGTTTGTTTTTGAAGAAAGATATCCAGAGTTTGATAACAAGTTACACTTGTCTTGTTGTTAATGTGTTGCAGTAATGAAGATGACATCACTATGAAACTGACTGAAATATTGTTCCTGAATGACGTAATTCAAAAACACAAGGCTACAGGAGCAAAGATGTATATGATTATGGTAAATTTATTCAATTTTTACACACCTAATCTCATTGAGAACTATCAGTACTTTAGCCATAGTTTTTAAACGAAACATTTCCTCACAATTTTAAACAAGTAGTTAACAACATAAAAAAAGGCTGTGTTGCCATCTGTTATTAGTGAAGTGACTTTTTGATTTTGCTTATCATATTTTCCGGATTACACAGGGACTTTTTCCTCGGCGGTCGGGCAGTCATACCTGTTAATTTGAAAAACAATAATATATTCTTGACTTTCATGGTTTCTTTACAACAGTAAGAAAGCATAGCAGATGGTTATAGTTGACTATTGCACCCCACGATTGATGGGATAAGGGCCACCACAGGGGCAACAGCAATAATGCTTTACAATGCCTATTTTCACAATAACAGAAACTTATATAAGAGATCAGGACATGTTTCTTAACATATACCTCAACTCTATATAACAAAAAATTCATCACTAGGTCATGGAGTGAAGAGGTCAAATTCAAGAACTGTCGCCATGTTTGTTTACTATGTTGGTGGCTTTAATGCAGCTTACAAAAATATATTATGGGATTATAGGAACTTCATCAACATACAATAGCCTTTGTTAATATTAAATAGTACAAACATTGGTGGAGAGGTTGTAATACTGTATGTAATATCAGGCCCTACCTGTGCTTTAGCAATCATTGAAGGCCCCAAACAAGTTTGATATTTTATGTCTGGTACATGACCAGCATGATTTAAAAAACATCCATAAAATAAAGGATTACTTTTGCAAAATGTATAGATGATCAGACGATCTTGATAAATTGCCTTCGATTATCTGTTATCGTTATATCAAATGTCAACAATAGTGGTCACCATATCATAAGAAAGGATGCAGCTTATATTCTGGTGGCTTATATGTGGATAAAATAAAAAAAAAATGCTAAAAATTTGCCCTGCAGCTTATATACTGGTGCAGCTTATAACCCCGGAAAAAATGTTAAGTTGTTTACTTAAAATAAAAAAAGTAAATGATATGATACAATTTTATATATTATTTTACAGGAAGACTGGGATTACCTACAATTACAAGTGGCATTGCTGTACAACAGTGAGACATCAGGCATACCCATACACATGCAGGTCTGAACTCATGTACATAGAGCTTAAATAAACATGTAAAATATTGATGAATAAGTCTGTATTTTTGAGGTTGGTGATGATTTTCCAGAGGGCTTTTTAAGTAATATGTGCTGTGTACATGTAGTATGGTCATTATGCACTCACTTGTTACAAATGTAAATGCAACAATTTTGCAGAACTTCAGACTTGGTCAAAGTTCATTGTAAATTAAAGCAGACATCTTGCTGTTTATCCTTTTAGAAGATCTGTGAAAACAACAAATATAAAAATTTTCCTATATGTTAATGGGGTAACTGAATATGTTTATCACATGACATTTTGTCCTTTTTTCAGCCGAAAAAGTCTACAAGGGGTTTTGTACAGAGACTGAAAGGGAAACAAGGTCGTTTCCGTGGAAATCTTTCAGGCAAACGAGTTGATTTCTCCGGGAGAACTGTTATTTCCCCCGACCCCAATATGAGAATAGATCAGGTTTGTTCCAATGTCATGCCATAATACACTTGGTCTGTGTGGTTTGTTTGGCAGTCAAATATAAATGTGAGTGACTGTGTTTGGATGTGATCACTTTCCTTGTAAATGAGAGCAATGCATGACATCTGGCTGCTTTCACTACATACGTACTTTCAAAACCTTAATATATCTAGATGGAAAACTAGAAATACTGATTTTAATAAAAGCAATATTAATTTGCTTCTTAATATTCTGACCAATATAATTGAGATTTTCTTGAAAAAGCTGAAGTCTAAGATAATTGAATGAATTTAAAGAAAAAATAAGTACAAGTTTTCTTCTTTTAGGTTTTGAAAAAGTTATTATTTAAGCACACCAAAACATAAACATAGGTTTCTTAATATGATTAACCATTCACTCTTTTACCTTATAGTTCATCTTTGATTGATTGGTATTGATTTGATACACATTGTAATCTCGTTTATGATGATTTTGTTCGATATTATTTGATAATGATAATATGTAAGATAATTTTAATAACCTTGATGATTTATGGTAGGTTGCTGTGCCTGTACATGTTGCTAAAGTATTGACATACCCAGAGCGTGTCAACAAAGCCAACATAAAGATGCTGCGTAAACTGGTGAAGAATGGGTGTGATGTTCATCCAGGAGCCAACTTTATACAGCAGAGAAACCACATTAAAAGGTAGATATTGTCTCAGAATAATCAATCAAGCATTTTTGTTAGTTGCCACTGTGATATTTTCCTAAAAAAAAGATGTATTTTGACATAATTCCGATCAGAACATGGTACATCAGTAAAGGTTTTGTTTACCGACACTTTTGATGTTTTACAGGTTAAACATATTCAATCTGTAATACCCCTTAACATGTATTTTTTTTCAGATTTTTAAAATATGGCAATAGAGAAAAAGTAGCAAAGGAACTCAAATATGGTGACATTGTTGAACGGCATCTGATAGATGGTGATATTGTACTGTTTAACCGACAACCCTCACTACACAAACTCAGTATACAGGCTTTTTACGTAAGTCATATTTTTGAGATTAAAACATGTGCTTTGTCATCATTAAAAGAACATGATCATGGTTCACATTTATCTGGCACTTAATAGTACAAATTCTTGTCCCGCTTCATCTCTCTTTTTCTCCAGTTAGGAATTCAGTGATGAAATTTTTCCTAGTGATCCTCTGTTGTTTTCAGTTACATCCTGATCATTTTTTGTGAATTTCATTGGTATGATTTTCATTTGTTGTAAATTTACTTTGAAGTTTTTATTTGTTTTTAGAATAATAACCTGATTAATATGCTATGTATAAAGGAATAGATAAAGAAATATTTATATGATAAATAAATAGTGTAGTTATGCTTTGTATAAGCAATGTGGTTTTTTATAGATGATTCTGTGTTTATTTGTTGTTAGGCAAAAGTCATGCCTCATCGGACATTTCGCTTCAATGAGTGCTGTTGCAACCCCTTCAATGCTGACTTTGATGGTGATGAAATGAACCTGCACTTGCCACAGACAGAGGAAGCCAAGGCAGAAGCAATAACTTTGATGGGGGTGAGCATTAATAGACATGTCAGGTTATAAATTATTACTCATCTGTTTGTAACTTCATGAAAAAAAAGCTTCTTCCCTAAAACGGTAAAACTGAAATTCTTGTGGATTTTTTTATTTTTGTTGATGTTGATGATACTTTTAATCCACAAATTCATTTGTTCGTGAACTGTTAAGATTAATATGAATAAATTTATCAAGCTGTATTTGTCCATGTTTTTTTTTTAAACTATGAAAATAAATTATTTCAAATCAATTCCATGATTTGTGTGTATTCTTCCATATTTTAATTTAAAACAAGTTTGAAGGCGTAATATTTCATGCTCATAAAAGAAGTGTGGCATTTAACAAAAATCAATGATCTTGAAAGATTATGTTATTATTGTATACCTAAAACAATATTTGTCATTCATGGTTGATTGAATATAGATATAAGGTGATGTTTTCTGTGTATTTCAGTCTAAAGCTAACATCATAACACCAAGAAATGGTGAACCATTGATAGCTGCCATACAGGATTTCATCACAGGTAAATTAGTTTCTACCTCTCAAATGGATTTTTTTTTAATTATTCAGTATTCAAAAATAGTATTGGGAAAGTTCATGTTTATTGATTGAGTTAACTTTCAATTGGTATATTAGGTGTGAGACTAGAGAAGCAAGATTCTAGCAAGATATATGAAACTTTGGAGGGAGGATGTGTTTCAGAAGTTACAATAACCAAGTTTTCTTTCATGACAATAAAATATTTCTCAACTAAACCGTGAAGCTGGTTATTGAACTCCATTCTGCAGGTGCCTTCCTTATTACCCAAAAAGATGTGTTCTTTGATCGGGCTCGGACCTGCCAGTTGATCTCGGCAATGTTGTCTGGGACAGACAGTAACATGGAGATTAATTTACCTCCACCATGTATCATCAAGGTCAGTAAAAAGTTAATTATTTACTGTCACCATGTATCATCAAGGTCAGTAAACGTTAATATTATTTACCTCCACCATGTATCATCAAGGTCAGTAAAAAGTTAATTATTTACTGTCACCATGTATCATCAAGGTCAGTAAACGTTAATATTATTTACCTCCACCATGTATCATCAAGGTCAGTAAAAAGTTAATTATTTACTGTCACCATGTATCATCAAGGTCAGTAAAAAGTTAATTATTTACTGTCACCATGTATCATCAAGGTCAGTAAACGTTAATATTATTTACCTCCACCATGTATCATCAAGGTCAGTAAACGTTAATTATTTACTGTCACCATGTATCATCAAGGTCAGTGAAGCATGTTGGTAGATTTACATTTTTACCTCCTCATGTCTTATACTGTTCAATGAAGAATATAATTTGTACATTCCAATGCCTCCTAAAGATCAGTGAAGCTTGCTGATAAATTACTTCCTAGTGTTTGTAGGTTTTCATGTTGTCAATAACTTTACCTCTCTGTGTTTTTTAACATTACTTAAATTCAGTGATAGATTTACCTACTTGTGCTTCATGAATATCTCAGAAATTGTCTCATAGATTTCCCTTTCAGTTAGGCAAATGGTAGCTGATTTATATGCATTGGCCCTGAAAATCATATGTGTTATGATCAAATGTTAAGTTGGAAAATAGGCCAAAAATTGGTATTCATTTTTACCATCACTACTTTTGACAGCCTTGTAAATTATGGACTGGCAAACAGATATTTGGTGTGCTGTTACGTCCAAATAAAAAGTGTCCAGTGAGGGCGAATCTTCGGACACGTGGGAAAAACTACTCTACGGGAGAGGATCTTTGTTACAACGACTCATGTGAGTAGTCCTTTATGAGTGAATGAATAATTAATATATCAAGTAATAAAAGCATAAAATCTGAAAATTACTTCCACATTGCCAAAGAAATGTAACACAACACATAATATTAAACTTCTGTCACTGTTTATCATTGTATATAAATTTTGCCTTCATTAGGCCACCATCATCAGCATTACTGTCAGTCAGTAAACATTTTTTGTTATCACTATTTTTTGAGAAACACTGGATGGTTCTTTCTCAAATTTCATATGAAGCTTCCACTTGGTCCCTTGTTGTGTCGGTTTGAGTCTGATAAGAAATACAAACAGGCCGACAGGAAGCCATTTTGAATTGCAAAAATGAAAGTTTGTTATCCATATTTCTAGAGAAGAGCTAGATAGATCTTTCTCAAATTACATATGTAGGTTTGTGTTTGTCCTTATTTGTGCCTGTTTGATTTTGGAACTGATAGAAAGATGGTTGACGGGCATCGAAAGATTATTATCACTATATCTGCAAAGGAATGTTCAATTTTGTATTGTTAAGAGCAAAAACAGAGGAGAGAAGAGAAAAAAAGGGAAAGATCCAACTTTTAAAGAATAAATAAAGATCAAATAATGGTGGGCACCAAGATCCCTCTGGGATCTCATGTTATGATTAACATAATCCTTAAAATGGAAATTGTTTCCCCTACCCAAGTGGAAATATTTTCTTTTAATTTCTGAAGTAAGTAAAGTAAAGAGATCACAGGTTTAGTAGGGTTTCAGACTTGCAAAATTCAATAACAATAGAAAAATGCATTGTTCTCATTAATATTTTGGGCACTTGCAGATTGATGAAATATTCATTTAGGTTCATACTTGTACTGTTTATACAACTGTAATACTGTTATTACAGTTGTGGTGATACGCAACAGTGAACTTTTGTGTGGGTCAATGGACAAAGGAACGCTGGGCTCAGGCTCAAAGAACAACATCTTCTATGTGATCCTTAGAGACTATGGTGAACAGTATGCTGCCGACACGTTGGTACGCTTGGCCAGACTTTGTCCAGCATTCCTCAGTAAGTAATTGCTTGTCACTCAGCCCAGAGTAAATGGAACTAAAAGTTCTCATTTCATATCAGGCAACATCTATAGAATTGTTCTAAATTCTTAGACCTTCAAAGATAACAAGTGTCAGGTGGAGAAGGAAACATATTTTGAAAAATTTTAACATGAAAACTGGGACAAATTCCTGAAAAAACTAAACCATGAAACATTACATAATAATTAAGTATTAACAGTTTAAGGCAGTGATGAAGATTGAAATAATTTTCCATTTTCTTTCTTAAACTTAAAAAACCATTGTAATAAATATCTCCATACCACATGTTATTGGATAATAATTCAGTATCTTAGTTCATTGCACCTTAAAGAGTCTGTTGTACAATCATACAGACTACAATGAAATTAACCGATATTTACGACAGGTAATCGAGGTTTTTCCATTGGTATTGGTGACGTAACACCAGGCGTTGGATTGGTCAAGGCCAAGAACCTACTTCTGGAGGATGGGTCAGTAGTTAACACTTTTGGTCCAATCATCTGCAAGTTGTTTAATACTATTGATTTCTTCACACGCCAATGGAACGCTATCATTGATGAGACAAAACCTAGTAATAGGAAGAGTCTTTTAGGTTGAATTTAGATGGAAAAATTCTTCAGAGGTCTAATGTCTCAATTTTGATATGTATTTATTATCTTCTTATGAATTCCATGATGCAGGATGTTTTGAAGGCACATTTTTTTCATTATATTTGAAAATTTCATATTTATAAAAGATCATGATTTATTACTCCTGTCTTGAAATACAAAGTATTATGAGAATTTTTAGGTTCCTATAGATCAATATGGCTTAGGAAATTCAGGTTTATCTCTGATATTTACACAAAAATGCCTGAATGATTTATATTTGGCACAGATATTCAAAGTGTGACAGCTACATTCGTGACCTGGATGAAGGAAGGCTACAGACCCAGCCTGGTTGCAGTGAGGAGGAAACTTTAGAGGTAACAGGATGAGTTTAGAGGGGTGAGGTAGGCCAGGAAGGTAGGGAATGAAATTAATTCCCAAGATTTCCTGAATTATGGGTAAAAGGATGGATGAGTATTGACATTTAATGTTTATGCAAGATACAGTTAAAAATGTCTTAAAATTTGAATATACCAGAATATTTTGCATAAATGAATTATTAAGGGTTGATTCAGACAAACCTAGTAATTACCTTATATATATATATAGTCATACTGAACTGGTTAAGTTGATGAACATGACATTTTGATGGTGATGTACTTGATGCTAAATGTGTATCATTTGATAGCCATGATTGTTCGGTGTTTCAGGCTTGTATTCTGAAGGAGCTGTCTGTGATCCGAGACCATGCTGGAAAGGCATGTCTGAGGGAGCTACACAAAAGTAACAGTCCCCTGACTATGGCTATCTGTGGTTCTAAGGGTAAGGGCAGAATATTTGTGTTGGCAAAAGTTTTGTTTTACATGTATTGTGTATTAAAAAGTGTTGATGGTGTATAGTGTTACCTATGTCTGTCACAGTGCATTCTGTTCCAAATCAATGTCATATCTAGAGAAACTCTCAACAGATTGGTTCAAATTTATCCATTAGTATCATAACTTCAGCTGATTATCAGTCAAAGTTAAAAGGTTCAATGTCAGATTGTGTATCAGAAAGAGAGCATTCACAGCTTACAGACATGCTCTAGTTTTATATATGATATTCAAACGATCTGAAAAAAAGCTGTGTTTTATCGACAAAAGTCACTGGGTAATGCTGGCAAAGGCTTATGGCCTATGGATAATCTACACCTGTTTTGATGGAAATCTCCTCACATTTGCTGAGTTTGGTAGGTATAGTACAGCTGTATGAATATCATGAGGTTGTGGCATCAGTCACCTAGGTAAGGTAACTTGTGGTTGATGTGAGTTCATGCTATCAGATATATAGACCTTATTAGTTTTGTTTAAATAATTTTCACATTCATGTTGTTTTTGTTTAATTTGATTCCATTTCATTAAAATTCATACAAGCTGATGTGTTGGAAACTACTGGTTTTATTCCACAGTAATGTAAGCACATATTTAGTAAAAATACCATCCCTGTCTTTTCTTGCTCAAAAGCATGTAATACAAGCAAATTCTGTTTCATGATTCAGCAGTAAGCCCCACCTCTTGACTAAAGTTGGAGGTAATGTGTTGTTTCCTCAGGCTTATTGCAGGATAAGACATATGTAAAAAAAAAATCTAAGGTGATATATAATACAAAAACCAGAGGAGGCTGTAGTTTTTTTACACCACCAGACTTTAATTTTGATTAAATTTTATAGGATCATTCATCAACATATCACAGATGATATCCTGTGTAGGACAGCAGGCCATAAGTGGAAAGAGGACACCTAATGGCTTTGAAGATCGCGCTCTCCCACACTTTGAAAAGCATGGTAGGTCAGATTCATTATCCTTAAATTATCCTTAATAAAGAGTTATCAGTATATCTTTAAAGACTGTAAAGTACTTTGCTCTTGGGTATGTAGAGATAAAATGTAACACTTATTCTACCACTGTTGATGACATGTCAGTCAGTTGAGAGTGTTTGCCTACATAACCTCAGGGTAAGATCTGAGGTGCTTGGCTTGACTCTTCCTACCTGTGGTAGTTTGTGTTTCTCAGGAAGCTGAGAATTGTCAGACTGTCGGTAATGGATTGGTTGTGTCCTTTGTCCTAATGGATTGGTTGTGTCCTTTGTCCTAATTGCTCATGATGGCACGAGATGGGCCTCCCTTTCAGCCTGAAAATGACTTAGGCTGTTCACAGGTGATAAACCAACAATCAAACTGTTGAAGACTTTCATTACCCATATAAGGCATAATTAGAATACATTGATCTTCAGCTAAAGGTCGAAGGTCAGTAGGATGCTATCACTGTAAATTATCACAGTTAATAATATTCAATTAAAAAAAAATAGTCACCTACCAATACATTAATGATTTCCACAATTGATGATATTATCAAGGGCTTCCGTATTATGAATGCTTATAATTGCTAAAAGTCATGAAATTTGCATGAACACGTATGAAAATATTAAAAAGATTGTCTCATATTATTATACACTGGACAACATGATATGCATAGTTTATCTTGAGAATTGGTATTTTTACTTAGACAAGGACCTTGTATATATATTAACAGCATTGATTATATATTTATCATTGTGATATTTTATAGTTCAAACTTGTGAAAAAGTCGAGATGCTATTGAATTTATTCTAATACGTGGTAAACAAAACTTATTACTTATAAACTTATTTGAGGAATGCTGTGCAAAAAGGCTAAATAATTTCACATGGTGTGTATTTTCTAGAAGAATTATGTACAGTTACAAAGATATCTTTAACCCTTTGTCAATCTTTTTAATAATGTATGCTTATGATTTATGTCTTTCTTATTTACACTAACCTAATTACAGGTATACAAATCCTTAAATCAGAGATACATTTCTGAATGTTAACAGTTATTAGTGTTAAACATTAAATTCAGCCAAAGATCCGGCAGCAAGGGGATTTGTAGAGAACAGCTTCTACACTGGTCTGACTCCAACAGAGTTTTTCTTTCATACCATGGCTGGTCGGGAGGGCCTGGTGGACACAGCAGTCAAGACAGCCGAGACTGGTTACATGCAGCGACGACTGGTAAAGGTAAGTTCACAGCTGTGATTATTTCTTAGTACGGATGTTCCAGCATTTGAATCGTGGTGAATATACCAGGTAGTGGCGATGGACGGACTTGTATTAAACAAAAATAGTTATAACCAACTTAGTAATTTTAATTGCTTTAATTGCTATGTTTAAAGAAAAGCTTTTACATTTAAGGAGATGTGCATTACATTTGTGGAGAAGCCTGCTGGAAAAATCTCTATTAATTTTGATTTAATTAAGTTAGCAAGAGATGAACTAAATGTAGAAAAAAATTGCAAAATAAAGATATTTAAGCTTGGTGTAGATAAGTGTCAGGAATTCTCCTGAAACGTGGCAGGTTATCACAATATGAGAAGATGGAGCCAAGAAATTTAAACCAAGAGAAATAAGGAAGATAAAACTTAAATTCTTCTTCACTATATGGAATATGTTTTTAATTGTGAGTCTAATTTTTGCTATATTCTGAATGAATAATGCAATTGTGAAGTACATCCTCACTCACAGGTTTATGCTGTTCATACTTGTATGTCTTCATAGCATTAGTCACAATTCAAATATACACAAATGGACTGAGATATGAGTGATCATGTTAACTGACTTTTGTTGTCATATAGCTGCATGTAATTGCTATTATGCTTGTTAATGATTCCATATTGTTCAAACAATCTCCAGTATTTGTCTTTACTGACCAGAGGATCAGGAATAAATGCTATCATGAAAATTACATCATTAGGTTATGCAAAATGCTGTAATATAGTTGTGGTGAAAATTACATGTTATACGAAATTGGATTTTCTTATGAATAACTTAGGGAGACTTGTAATGAGGAGTTATTGTGAAACACCTTACAAAATTATACAGGCAATTTCATAACACTTGGAAGAATTATTTATATTTAATTATGTGTTTACTAGTCACTTGAAGACCTGTGTTCACACTATGATCTGACGGTTCGAAGTTCTACAGGAGACATCGTCCAGTTCTTATATGGTGGGGACAGTCTTGACCCTGCATGTATGGAAGGCAAGGACACACCAATAGACTTCAAGCGTGTGTTTGATCATGTCAGGGTCAGTATTGATCTTCGTTTGTTTTTCAGTAATGCTCTGTTTATATATCAAAACAGGTATTGAATTAACTCCTATGACTCAAAAAACATTACTTGTCCTGTTTGAAATTACTTTAATAATAATAAGTTCTGTTTATTGGAAAACCTCTTCACTCGGTGGTAATTTTTTTCGTAAATGCCAAGGCTCTCACACCCCATTTTGGGACTGGGGCCTGGGGCCCTTTGAATTTGGAAAAATAATGGTGTTTTCCTTAGAATTGGGAAAACTTGGGGTCTAAATTGGGAAAAAAGATACTATTTTGCATTGGGAATTCGGCCCCAAATCTGGCAGATCGAGAACCCTGAATGCTCACAGTCAGTAACATACCTTTTGATTTTCACTTCAATTTTTGCTGTCATTTTGTTATTGATATATTGATAAAAGGGCAATATTTAAACTGCAGCAAAAGTTTTCCTGGATACATGATCTTATATCTTAAGGTCAAAATATATTGCCTAATTCGTTTCAAATATAATTTTCCGTATGGAATGTTCTAAAAAACCATTTTCACTCTGTCATTTCATTTATATGTAACAAGCATACATTAATTGATTAAACATTTGAGACAAAAGGGTTTTTTCCAAGGGAGGACACATTTAACACAGTTAAAAAAATTCAAAAGATGATTGATAATAATAATATTTCAATCACCTTCTGACAGGCGAACACTAGGAGAACTTGTCATGGAGAGAAGTCACTCAGCGGTCAAAACATGATCCAACTGGTCGAGCAGAAATTGGCAACAGACATGTTAAAGACTTGTAGTGCAGAATTCAAGAATGACCTCATGTAAGTAAAATATATGTGCAATATGTATATCACTTTGATAAAGTTAGTTTAGACTCCTTGTGTAGTTTGTCTTTTTGAAGAATTTGGTCGCCTCTATTACACAAATGCAGCAGCATTTGTACCAGCATTGGTTTGGAATAAGATTTTGATACAAATATGAATGATACAAGAAGAAAATGTTCCAATTAAAACGATCAACATTTGGTTAAAATTGGTGACATTTAAGTCAGTCAAGGGTTACGCTTGTTGACCGTTGCCATTTATAAGCTTTAAATTTCATCCATGGAAGAGAGTTGATATTGACCTAAGCTCTGATTTTTAGTCCTATTGCTTACCAGAGTAGTATGTTGTGACGATACTGACATTTTGTACAGGGACTTTATGAAGAAGATGGCTCATAGCATTGACAAGACTAGAGAAAAGTTTGGTGTTATTGATCAACAGGGGATGCAGCTGCCAGGAGGTAATGATGCAAAGCAGTACATTTTCATAAGTGACAAATATGGATTTGCACTTGGTTTTTAAAGTACAAGAATAGACATTTAAGATGCAGAAATGAAATAGATTCTATAAATTGAATATCATGATGTAGGAATTGTCTTTCCTGCTGTTTCAAATAGCAGTAAAGTTCTTAGATGGAAGATCTATAATGTCGCAGTGTCTACCCAACATATATTTACTAAATGACTGTAACTGATTAAACCGCAGAAGTGTACTTCATTTCCAATGGATTTTGTTGTCCTGATAACAACTGATGAGCGGTCACATTGCTTTGACAATATCTTCACAGTAAAGAATATCACTGTTTAAAGCTTTTGAGAATCCCTAATTTCAGTGTATATTTATTATAAAAATTTAGTGCCAGGATAATTTAAAAACACACAACTTTAATTTATAGTATTGCTTATAGAAAATGTCTTTTGACATTTCTTCTTTGTTTTAACAGTGTTGTTTGAGATGGAGAGAGTGACAGAAACGCAACTTGACCACTTTCTATCCTGTTGCAAGCATAAGTTTATGAGAGCCCAAATAGAACCAGGTAGGATTTTACTGATGATTGGTGAGTGATATCAATTAACAGAACAGTGTGTAGACCTTTCGAATGTTCTCATTATATTGTATTTGTTTGTTAATTCTGTCATGTCTATGCAATACTGTCTTATACCATGTAATACAACTGTGTTTTTGCATCAGTGGATGGTTGTAGAATAGCTGAATGTCTCATGATAATTTCATCTTTGTCAAGGTATGTTTAAGAGGAACATATTTTTCATATGTTGGTATGAAGCAGGATGGTTTGAGTATTTCACTATCTTGGTATGAAAATGTTAAACTTTAGGAGAGATTCAGGTTTTACCTGAAAATATTAATGTTGAAAAATTCTCTGTCCTTCATCCATGAAAAGTACTTTACAGTTCATTCTTGAGGCATTTCAAATTCAAACACTGCATAATTCTTAATTTGATCATTTTGGCTGTTAGCAAAGAGAGATTTGATTTGGGTTGTGGGTGGAGAGTCTTTGTATTTTGGGCAGATTCACTCATTAGAGAGATGTATTGTTTAAGTTGTGTTAGTGATTATATCAGCTTAAGAATAATGTGTAGTGGCCAGTTTGGCTTTGACACCATCTTAGGTTTCTCTTGGTATTACAGGGACAGCAGTTGGAGCGGTATGTGCACAGAGTATTGGGGAGCCAGGCACACAGATGACACTGAAAACGTTCCACTTTGCCGGTGTTGCTTCTATGAGTATCCTTTACAATACAGACTTTCCTTTATTCTTGATTTTAGAACAAATTCAAGTTTTGTGTTCTTCGAAGAATTAAATGTTGATTACAGTAGATGAATTTGACCTTGACCTTTAAACAGACATCACACAGGGTGTGCCGAGGATAAAAGAAATCATCAACGCCTCCAAGATCATCAGTACGCCTATCATCACTGCACAGCTGGAAGTGGAGAATGATGCTGAATTTGCACGTGTTGTGAAAGGACGCATTGAAAAGACTACATTGGGAGAGGTTTGTAGATCATTGCTTACATCCTGTACAAGTACAGACAACATTGTGGATCCAAGCTTGATGAAAGATAATTTTTAAAGTTTTGAGAAAGAGAAATTTTGACTGTAAAATAGCCTTTTGAAGAATTCTTACTTCTAACCAGTGTTGCCTAGCCTGAGAAAACAAGCTCAGAATAACTACAAACATTGAAGAAATATTGCAACAAGTGATTGCATAGAATAGAACATTCAAAAGAATCCATATTTCAATACAGAACATACTTGTCAAACTATTTCTCTAAGAAATAAAGACTCAGTTTGTTGACAGTTGTTTTGATTTTGACAATTATGAATATGCATTATCTCCCTTGGTCGTTCTTAATAAATATTAAAACTAAAGTGATCAGGACAACCTTACAGACTTTCCAGACTTGTGGTACAATTTTTTTTCCTTTTAACAGGTTTCAGAATATATGGAAGAAGTCTTTTTGCCAGATGACTGCTTCATGTTGATCAAATTGGATTTAGAAAGGATACGTCTGCTCAAGGTAAATTACAAACCACAGAAGATGCATACAATAATAGTAAAAAACCGACATAAAAAATTTGCTGTTTCTCTGCTACCCCAAATCCTGCCACATGTCATCAGTGTTTATATCATCAGTTGAAATAAGCTATTAAGTTTTAATTTTGAAGAAAATGAGATATATTGTTGTTAATGAATTGGATTTACCATATGAAAAAATAAGTGCAAAACTACAGCACACAATTTCCACTTCTCAAAATTCTGTACATGGAAAATTTTTGCTGTTTGATTATGATATTGATGAAACAAGTCAAAGAATTTTTTTCATTGTGCCGAGTTTCTGTTGGGGTAAAAGGAAATTTTCTTGACAAGTTTCATAAATTTTCCATGAAATGGAAACGATTGAAAGGTTCTTATCACATTGCTTAAATAATTTAAAAAGAATTCATGAAAATTATAAGAGATGTATAAAACCTAAATTGGCCCATTCTTGAGTCATATCCCTTTCTCTGTAATCACAATGCATATAATAGCACGAAGTTGAAGGGTGGTTGGTTGGGTGGCGCAGTGGTAACACTTCTAGACTTCCAGGGTTTAATTCATGGAATGTATGTGAAAAGGTAAGGGGTCACCTGACTGACCATGTGGGTTTTCCCTGGGTACTCTAGTTTCCTCCCACAGTAAGACCCCTTGTAAGCTTCCATCCAGGCCAACAAGAGTGATTAATATAAGTTGGAAAAACTTGTTTTTCTATTTTTATAAAATAAATAAAGTGTAAAAACAATGGAAACCTTCAGCTCTATATTACTATACTATACTAAAATATATGTTACTACACATGTTGCTTTGAAATCAGCATAATATATATCATCTCTATCCACCAGCTTGAAGTCCATGCTGACAGTATCAAGTTTGCCATTTGTAGCTCTAAGCTCAAGGTGAAACCTCAGGTATGTGCATCAATGTGACAATCATAAGAACAAATGTATCAAATAAAATGTATTTTTTCTTTGAGAAATATGTATGTCTCTTTCAATATTTTGTTTCAGTTCAAACGGTTAGTGTTTAAAAAGCTTGCTTTAAACAATATGTAATGATGTGTAGATTGTGTAAGGTTTGAACTTTGGTTACATTTTACTTACCTAAATTTGATGTGAAGAATATTCAAATTTTACTGATCAATCATTCAATGGATGATGTGTTCTTGATAGTATTTTATCTTAATAGTATTTTTTGCTCTGTCTAGATTTCATGTTTGATTTTAAGAACATTTGGCATTAACAGTTGATTGTATTTGACCTTGGTGACTTTTGATCCCATTACAGCACATTCAGATCCATAGTGAGGCTGTCATCACCGTTCAGCCGAACGAAACATCCAAGAGCTCCATGTACTATGTTCTCCAGACACTGAAAAAGGAGTTGCCAGATGTGATGATCAAGGTAACTCACTTATTGTAATAAAACATGGTTCATTCATAGACACTGTGTAATTTATAAGGCAGTATCATATAATGTTAAATTTCATGGACTTCAGAAAATTGTAAGAAAATTTCAAGGAAGTATGACCAAAAGCAGACAACCTTGAACAATCAAGAAGTCTAGGAACTGAGTTACTGGGGATAACATATGTGTCACACAGTTACATCTAGTTAATATTTGGTAAGAGCTTCATTTCCTGTTAAAATATCTGTGCTTTGTTTTGACTAGGGCATACCATCAGTAACTAGAGCTGTGATACATATAGACGACGGAGAGGGTGATAAATACAAACTATTAGTGGAGGGGGACAATCTGCGGGCTGTGATAGCAACCCCTGGTGTTAAGGGTACTCATGTGTCCTCCAACAACACATTGGAGGTAGAAAAAACACTTGGCATTGAAGCTGCTCGCACTACCATCATGAACGAGATCAACTACACTATGTCAAGTCACGGCATGAGTATCGACATCCGCCATGTCATGCTCTTAGCTGACCTTATGACCTTTAAGGTAAGTATCTGCAGTCATAAGGCTGTCATGGTATACAGCTTTGATTTTATGATATTTGTGGCTTGTATGTATGATCATCGTTATAAATTGTTTGTAGGTGATATAAAGGTTATGCAATGCTGTAATTATGACCTTCAGGGCATTAACCTTGAACTTGATGACCATCAAACATTCTAAATTTTTGTAACATTGATTTTATCAAATTTATTCAGTTATATTTATCGTTAAATTTTCCAATATATAATGTAATGGAAAGCATGGTTTTGCTGACATTCTTTTCTTATCCAAACATAGCAAAATCTCAGTGTTTAATGATGTCTTTTTCTATAGGGTGAAGTTTTAGGGATTACTAGATTTGGGTTGGCTAAGATGAAGGAGAGCGTCCTCATGCTGGCTTCGGTAATATCTGGTTTTTATATGTCAATAATATCTTTGTACAAAATTTCTTTCTTTGTACATTGTCAAGAAACATTTTTAATTTATTAATAAATCTATTTACTATTTGAAAAACTGTTTGGTGTGAAGTTGAAAATTTCAGAGTTATTCTCATTTTTATTTCAACAATGTAATCTTTTTGGTACAATTCATTTTTATTCCCTGAAGACCAAAAAATGTAAAATATAGTACATATACACGTATCTTATCATGCTGCTGTTATATTCTAGTTTGAGAAGACAGCAGACCATTTATTTGAAGCTGCCTATCATGGACAGAAAGACACAATCAATGGTGAGTTATCTCCCTTCCGCAATACAATAAATATTATCAGGTAAAGAGCAGTGCACCTCTGTGTTATGGAATTGGTTATTATTGATCAGAGAAAAAAACAAATTGCTTATTCTGCGTCAACATTAGTTATTCTTGAATATATGTAAGGGAAGAAATTTAATTATTTTTTAAACTGCTGTATTCCCCTGAATCAGATACTATTACAATATATGAATTACATTTAAATGTTGATTAAATGCAGTCCATAATATATGATTTCCTCTATTTTATTATTTATACAATTTCTGTAATAACATATGATGTGATGTAGTAAAGAATTTATTGTCAGGAAACATGCAAGCTTATCTCATTATCTAGACCGGTCCTGTAGAATGATGATTTAATATCATGTTTATCTAGATACATAAAGACATGTAAGGTTTAGTCACTAGGTACTGATATATAGAAAAATAATGACATGTTATCAATAGATAAAAGTTATTTCATGCTTTATAATCAATTGACTTTGATATCATCCATACAGGTGTGAGTGAATGCATTATCATGGGAATCCCAATGGGTATTGGAACAGGACTATTCAAGCTACTACACAAATATCCTTTACTTAACTGAACAGTAACATGCATTGTCGGTATAACAATATATTTTGGGAAATTTTGGTAAAATAATTTAAAAGAAAATAATTTTAAAAAACGGAAACAAACACAAAAATCAGCAGTATCTGGATTATCTTTGTATTGAAGTGCTTAAAAGTATTCTAAATCAAAATATTTCTTCCCGTTGATTGTAGTGTAACTTTGTTTTGCCATATCAGCCAGTATTGAAAAACTAAGATAATTGTCAAATGATTTTTTAAAGATAAAAACTCATTACTGTCAGTGGTCAGTAATTATTTCAGCTGAATAAGGAGAATTAGGTGTTTAAGTAGCAGGTTCACAGTGACCATGAAAATTACTTCTTGAAGATCTAATCAAGTATAGTTTAATTACTTGGTAGTTCCTGTGCATGAGTTTGAAAAATATTTAATCTCAAAACCTCAGTTAATTGTGCCTTAACCCTACCTACAGCAGAGAAAAATCTTAAACCTCGGCGGCGCCCCCTTGTATTTGACAGAACAGAATTTCACCTTCCAATGGTATCCTGATATTGTCTTGAAAAAGAACTGTAGATGAATATGACAGCCAAAGTGACAAGTTTGATTGTAGTAAGAGAGAGTGCTATGGAGATGTGAAGTATTTATATTGTTAAAAGTCCTGTTTGGAAGAGTATGGAGTGTGGATGCTGTTTAAGGTGTACAAGGCTGTGAATATGAAATGCGTTTCCCTCTTCACATGGTAAGTTTCAGATATATATATGCCGAGTCAAAGCTACATTTTGATAAAGGTTAAGGGTGTATGCTATATCAAACTTTATTTGTTATATGATTTTCTGGTCTATATGTGTTTACATCACAGGTCTGTTTTAACAATTACTGGACCTATGTGGTGTGTATCTGGTGTATATGATATGGAAAGCTTGTGATGAATATCCTGTGTTGTTTCATCACAGATCTGTTTCAATGACGAGTAAAGATGTATAAGTTGATATAAGAAAGTACTGTGAGACATGCTCCTTTGAGTCATGTAGGTATGCTCTATTAAAGTCCTGTTCCATCAATTAGACATTTATATTTATTGTTAAGTCTTTGAATGCGGTAATGAATGGAGGACGATTGTTGTGAAGAGATGGAAATAAAACAAAATTAATGAAAAAGTATACCTTTGTTGTTCATTACACTATTTTATATATTGACCCTTTAGAACAGATTTACCAGGAGTAATATATTTGATATCACTGACTTTATTTTGGCTGAAATAAAAGGTCACAAATAAATGACACTCAACCATTCAGCATTATTCAATTTCAGCCAATTTTATTGACAAAAACAGTCAATAGGATTGGACATCAGACTGAGCCTACCTCTGTTTAAGATGACAACTGGTGGTAAGAAACAGATATATATTGAGATAAGGGGAAGTAACCCTATAATGTATATAAAAACAGACCAGCTCAATATTCATGTTAATATCACATATGCCAATCAATATAAAAAAATCAGTTGTTTCAGATTTCATGTATCAATTTAGTAGACTTGTATGTTGTAGAATGAATGTTACTTATGTTTGGGGACAAGTATATCTATTTCAAGAAATATCAACAGAAATAAGCTCACAAACTAATTTGCCTACAACACAAATGGGTAACAATTTTGTTTGTTCGAAGGGGATCTGTCTTTGGTTTCATAGTGAATGAGTGGTCAAGTTATTTCTCTTGTGTAATCTGGGATTGTTAATTTTGGTCAGAAATGTCCTTATGGGAAGCAGAACCAATTTAGTGTAAATGAAGGATCTAGACCCTTTGGGAATTGGGGAAAATTCAGCAATTTGGAAAAAAATCTGCCTTCTTTTGTAGGATTGATGGTATTTCCACCAAATTTGGTCAGAAAAGTCCTTGTGGGAAAGATATTATTTTATATAAATGAAGGTACTTTGCCCCTGGGGCCCCAGCAAATTCTTTTACGTTATTCTTTATTAGGAATGACAGATACTAATAGTGGGAAGGGGAACCAGTTTTGTTTATAAATTAGGGCCTTAGCCTCATGAGGCCAGAGAGATGGTGTCCAAAATAGGAAATATATCAAACTCTTTTAAAATACTTCTGTAAGAATTATTTTATCCAAATTTGGTCAGCAGCATCGATTTTTGAAGGGAACGTGTGTCTGACCTCCCTTGGGGCAGAGGGGCAGGGCCCAATAAGGGAAATAGAGGAATTGCTTCAAAATACTGTTTGGATCCGTTGGGGAAGCAGATACAGTTTTGTGTAAATGGACGGTTGATATAACAATACAATAATGAATAAAAATGTTTCAAGTGAAGGATGAAATGTCCAGGTTAGCGATACAGGCCCCATGGGCCTCTGTACAAATCAGAATTAGTGTTCAGTGGAATGTCGATGGAGGAGGGATAGCACAGGATTTCAGTTGTGGTGTTTTTCCTCAGAAATATTTGTTGATATGATAACAGAATATGTTAGAAGTGCTATTCACACAATTACATATCGTATTCTGTTGTGATGAATAAGAGAGAATAGCATTCATAAACAATTGTATGTTTTTTCTAATATGTTGAATTAAAGCATAACGCAAGAAATTGTCATAATTCAATATTTAATAGATTTATAAAACTGAAACAAAACAATAGCGTTACATGAACCATTTGATGGTGCACAGAAATCCGAGATGAGGCATATAATCACTAAATTTGCATAAAGAGACAAAATGAATAGATATATCATTTAAAATTGAATAATTATTTCTGTTGCTATGAATCTAAACAACAAAACAAACAAACAAAAACAAGAAAGAAAGAAAATCTGTTCTTTGTAATTATGATCTATCTGCAATTAGACCATTTTAATATATTTGAAACACATTCACCTTAAAGTTTATAATTCCAATGCAAATTAATTATTTGAGTTAGAAGTAGCATACTGTTTTGTCACATGAATACACAGTTCAGTTTTTGGTGTTTGTGTGAGCTCCGTATAACCGCGAGTCGTGCTGAATATACCAAAGTAATGAGATCTTGAACACGTATAATGAAATTTTCCCTTTTTCTTTATTTCATTATCTTATTTTTCAAACCTTTTAAGTTTATGAAAAATGGCATGTTAGGAGACAGAATTATTGTATCGTAAGATTATCACAAGCAAAAAGATAATTTCCTGGTAGTGTTTCAGTTTTTAAATATAACATTGATATTTGTTCAACTGAAAGTCATATTTACAACTACCAATTAAAGATTAGAAATTGTCTTCAGCTTCCTTATGTCTTTATCGTCTGTACTTAGTAACGACGTGTTTAAAACGGAGAAACGTTCGACCTTTCTGGTTCTTTGTAAAAAAAAATATGTCATATTGGCTGCTGGTCGATTGTCTTTCAAAACGTTGAAAATAGTTTCACAAAACTACAAACATCTCAACTTACTGTGTATTCTTGTGTACATCCTTTGTAATTGACAAAGCTTAGGGCTATTCACTTTTAGATAGAAAGCATTTGTTTCACATCGGGATTAGGGCAAATTATTTTTCGCGGTGGTTTGAAAAGCCACTTTGTTGAACTAAAATGTAAACTGGAAACACAAGATATAATTTGAAATATTATTTTTGAATCCTCAGGGAAGACACGTGTGAACAAACAGAATCATTACTCCCGTCAGCAATGAAAAACTCGTCTTGGATCCCTGTAAAACAAAACAAAGCAAAGTCCCGCTAAAATGCGTAGCTTATTACAGAATATATATATATATATATATAAACCAGGAAAGTATTGTCGAAGTGAGGGATGTTTGCACTTACAGTAATTTTGTTCCAATATTTTAAGAAAATCTCCATGACTTGAATAGTCACAACCACCCCCAGCCCTGAAAATCGTTTTTTGAAATGATGTGATGTGCTGTGATATAATGATTTAAGAAAATCTTTTGCGATCAAATATTATCAAAAAGTAAATCTTTGATACATACCTTGTTCCTGGAGTAATCTGGAGGTCCTGGAATTGGTGTCGTAGTCTGTGTTATATTGTTCACATCAGACGTAGCTGTGGGTGATTGGGTTGTAGATGTTGTCGATCTGGCGGTCATTGATGAGGAGGATGTTGAAGATTTACCTGTTGAAGCATGTATAGATGTAGTAATAGTTGAAGTTCGAGCAGTCGTAGTTATTATAACTGGAGTTGTAGTTGTTATAACTGGAGTTGTAGTTGTTATAACTGGAGTTGTAGTTGTTATAACTGGAGTTGTAGTTGTTATAACTGGAGTTGTAGTTGAAACTGAAGCAGTAGTTTTAGACGAAGATGTTGGAGGGATGGATGTGAACGGAGAGGACAAGGACACGGTAGACGACGTGATGGGAGGTTTAGGAACTGTAGTTGTAGATGTACTCGTTGGTTGTTTAGATGAAGTTATAGTTGAACCATAATCTGTTGTAGATTTTGTTGTTGCTGAAGCTGAAGTTGAAGTCGAGGATAATTGAGTGGTGACTATGGTGGGAGATGACGTGGTCAGGACTGAATTGCTGGTAGATCCAGGTGTAAATGTGGTGGAAACTACTGGAACAAGTGTCGATGAGACTGTACTTGTTGGAGATGAAAGAGTTGAAGATAAAGTAGATTTAGGTGTAGTTGTAGTTGGTGATGACACGGACGCTGATGGCGGCGATGAAGTTGTCTCTGAAGTAAATGTTGAGGATGAAGTTGATGGCGATTTCGTAACAGATTCAGTTGTAGAGGGTGAAGCGTGCGAAGAATCTGATGTTGAGGGCGTGAAAGTCACTGAAGAATATGATGTTGAGGGCGTTGAAGTCACTGAAGAATCTGATGTTGAGGGCGTTGAAGTCACTGAAGAATCTGATGTTGAGGGCGTTGAAGTCACTGAAGAATCTGATGTTGAGGGCGTTGAAGTCACTGAAGAATCTGATGTTGAGGGCGTTGAAGTCTCTGAAAAATCTGATGTTGAGGGCGTTGAAGTCTCTGAAGAATCTGATGTTGAGGACGTTGAAGAATCTGATGTTGAGGGCGTTGAAGTCACTGAAGAATCTGATGTTGAGGGCGTTGAAGTCACTGAAGAATCTGATCTTGAGGACGTTGAAGTCTCTGAAGAATCTGATGTTGAGGACGTTGAAGTCTCTGAAGAATCTGATGTTGAGGACGGAAACGTCTGATGTCGAGGAATCTGATGTTGAGGACGGAAACGTGAAGTCTCTGAAGAATCTGATGTTGAGGACGGAAACGTGCTCGAGGAATCTGATGTTGAGGACGGAAACGTGCTCGAGGAATCTGATGTTGAGGACGGAAACGTGCTCGAGGAATCTGATGTTGAGGACGGAAACGTGCTCGAGGAATCTGATGTTGAAGAATGTGAAGTAAGTGGATGATTTGTTGTAGGTGTGTCAAAAGAATCTGATGTTGAGGACATTAAACTGACAGAATAATCGGACGTATGCGCTGATGTACCTGTTGTTGTTGAAATAGTTAATTCTGTTATTGTATCAGAATTACTTGTTAACGTTGTTGTCGCCGTTGATGTTCTAAAACCTAAAACATGAATTATAAAATAATATCAACAAATAAACGATATCCTAATCCGCACTCCGAATGGATTAAAGGATAATGAAATATAGACAAAAGAATGTTTCACACGAAATCCATTGAAAAATACAAGAAAAATAAAAACATATGTCTCGGAAGGGTAAGCGTCTTCTACTTCCTCGGTCCATTGCAAGTAGTGCCACATTCTCAAAAGGAAAAGATTAGCAACAATGGAAATATCGGGTATATATGCAGGTATCTAACTTCATAACGCACAAGGTAATGAGATATTTCCTAATAAGGTCATGTTGACCTTAACACTTTCCCACAAAAGAGATTATTTAATGACATTACTGTCAATTGCTCAAGAGGGAAGTGCATTTCTTATTACACACATGTTCCATGCTTTAAGGAACAGCAGCGAATCTTGGAAAATACTTTTTACAGGGAAATGTGTTGCAAATAATTAATATGTTAAGATAACAAAGGAAGAAGTGTTTGTGGTCTTTGGTGCACATAACCCATTTGAAACAAAACCTTTTATCAAATGAAGAAATAACCAGTTTGATAGTAAATGTAGTGTTTTCTATTTTAATTGGAAGGTGTAAGTAAACCTTGTAAATATTTCATTTGGTACTTTCGGCGCCATAATCTATTAAAACGCTCTGGTATCTGTTTTATTAACAAGGTGATCATAACTGTGTTACTCCAGGGATTGCCGATGCTAGTCATATAGGTCAAGACCTCCGGGTTTTTGGTTCTTCAGAAGAAGTCTGTTGAGTAAAATGACACTTTTTGCACAAGTTATTTTAGTTTAAGTCGATTTCATTTAGTTTCCACAGACTCCGAAATGCTGCTTTTCAGCAGGATATATATCGTCCAAATATTGTTTAGGCTTTTAAGCGCATTAAAAGCCATGATATATTTCAGAAATCACAAGCACTTTTTATCTTGCAAGCTGAAAAATATTTTTATCGAAAAAATGGAGAACCTACCAAAGATAAGAAGTAGACATGCAACTACTGCAAATAAATGAGACGGCCATGCCATACTGGGAATGCTGGTTTTCGAATACATCTGAAATGAAAACAAAGTTTGATAAATATTTTGTTTCGTTGTACTGCATAAAATACAACATGCGTGTGTTTCCGTTATATTAATTGTGGTCTTTTGTTGGCCTGTAGATATATATATTGTTTTGATCTCCGTGTTTGATATTTCATTTTACGTTATACATAACAATGCTCTTCAAAACAAAACCATTTTTCTTAGAAGGAAATAAAAAAATAATGTTATAATCATTTGTCATGCGAAATTTCTCTGAAGAGAACAAAATTTCGAAAACACCTTTTTTTCGTATTTCAATTTAGATATGATGAATAATATTCTCTGGTTGGATACACAGGACGCAATATATCCGAAAATGATGTGAAATAAATATTTCAGAAAATCGATTCCAACGAATCGATTCTTTCGCCAAATTTCAGTGAAACAAATATTTAAGAAAATCGATTCCAACGAATCGATTCTTTAGCCAAAATTCAGTAAAAAGTTCGCAAGTCGTCTCCGCAAAGCTTTAAAAGAATTGTCTATCTGTTGTGGTATTGAAATGGTATCCATTTTATGATAAATAAACAATTATGTTGTAAATAACGCAAAAGTGATGTATCTTCAAAACTGAGAGTGAAATTTTCTTTTATTGAACAAGTATAAGAAACAATACGATATCTCTCTATCACTGCATGTATTATTACATAGAATTATCTGTTTTAAACTGGATAAATGCCTCGTCAAATCTATACAAAAATGTTATTGTTGCAGCCATCAATTTTAATTAGAAAATGTTGAATTAATCTCTTTTAACAAGTAGCCATAAGCAAGACACTAAGTGATTAATAATACAACACTGTACATCCGCATTGTCTTTTTTGTTTCAAACTTGAACTAGCGAAGCGTCATGACTCACCTGTGTACCTGCTGGTATTTCAATACTAGGCTGGGTGATTATCAGTGTTCCTGTGGATGGTTGGAGTACTAGTGGTGCTTTGACTGATTATCACAATGCCGTCTATCAACCACTTAGAATGAAGAGGCCCTCCTTTATAGGCCCCCGAGGTGTAGGGGGATGTGACAGAACCGCAATTTATGACAATAAATTGACACAATAATATGTTGTAAATTGTGTGTTTAAGATATGTATAAATATGACCGCTGTATCTTCTAGAGTGTATTAATGGTATGCCTTTAACCACAAACATGGCGTCGTGATTTTACACGACATTTCTGTTGAAAAAAAATTGAAATTTGCAATTGATGTACATGTATTTACTACATCTAATGGTTGTAGATTCGGTTGGATCTGTCCTGAGGAGAACTTAGTGATTCTTGTCAACAAAAATACGGATTTTCCGAAATTGGGAGGAAATTACTACGCCAGCAAAATAACACTTTAATATATTGAAAGAGCGAGGCACATTAATAGCATAAGTTGATGAAACCTGATTTTTAAAACTCACTGAAAACAAAAACTGGTATTCAAAGAAAATAAAAGAGAAGCGTATTTACATCGAAAACAAAGCGAAACTTGTATAATTCTATAATAATTAGACTGGTAGGAATTTGCTTTAATAAATGAAACCGTAATGATCTCTCCGAGAAAAGTTACCAAGAAAAGACATATTCCCATTATAACCATAACATATTGTCAAGTCCTAGACACTTCAGCATATCTGAAAAGACTGAGCTTGTTGTCTGTGTTTTTCAAAGTTTGACGATCAAAGATGAAGTAGTTTAAACAGATATAACGTGTCGACTGTGAGTGAAGTGTTTACATGGAGTTTTACTTCTTATCAGTATTGGATATGATACAAGTAGCTCTGTTCCTGTTCAGAATTGACTGGAAACGTAAATTGGATTTTTTTTCATCTTCTTTACAAACCCAGTTTTTATATTGATAATATTAAATTACTTGCGTCTGGTATTGTCGATGAAGCATAGATCGCCTTGCCTTTCGGTGAACACCTGATCTCTTTTTCAAGAATATCTGTGTAAATCTTTCACTCGTTCATATTTTAAGTCGTTAAAAAATGTGGTGGTTGATTTAATGTGCTTAACCCTCTCTGTCACAAGAACTTCATTTCAATTTCAAAACAGAAAAAGATGTTTTTATTTGAAATGAAGAAAGAGAGTTTTTTCAGGAAACAGATCTATAGGAGAATAAAAATACTATAACATCATTACTTGGACAGGTATAACAGTTTCCCAAATTTTAAAACATTTTGTATATTTTCCCAAACATTTCAGTGTGATTTCATTTTCACATCACGTTCTGCTACAGACGCACATTTATGCTATCATGAATCTTTATTTCTCCCTTTCGGAGATATCATAATTAACATTGGAAAATGGAATATATATGATAAAATTAATGCATGTTTAATATTTAATATTTGGGTTATGGAAAAGGTATGATTAATAGGGCATACGCCAAATGTTCTGATTGACAAAGTATCACTTTGCGTTGGAAACGCTGAGTCATTCTTTGAAAAACGATTCACAGATCAGAGGACTTTGTACCAGCTGGCTCCTAGAAAGTGAAAGTGGAAAAAGTACCATGCAAATGTTATGTTGAAATCGTGTTTTTGAAAAACACGAAGTGGATAAAAAAATGAATAAAAATTATTATTTACAACAGTAAGAATAAAATATCTTTGATGTTGTGTTGCCATGGTTTCCGTTTTTTAAAATTTTGTTTCAAGAAAGCGAATTTCCTATTTAGCCACTGACAATTTCAACAATGTACTTGTTTTCTCTATTTGATCATCACACTTCACAAAAGCTAAATCTGATAATCTAATGTAAAGCTTTTAATCATAATGTTTGAATTATTGTTTCTTTTTTTTTAATTTTAATCCTAAAATTTTAGTTGTTTGTATTTAAATGTAAAATATTTATTTAAAAATAATCCTTTAATCGTCCTTGTCAATTATCTCATTTAAAAGGACAAATAACAGAATAAGTAAGAGTATTTTCAAACATCCTATTGTCGAGTTCATTTGAGGACAGGACTATCCTTTATAATTGACTTCTTCAAGGTATGATTTAGGGTGTAGATGTACATGGGCCTTGATAAAGGTCAGACGCACCAGGCGATAAGGGCCCTTCTAGCTCCCTTATATACTTTAAAATGTACCGTACAAATAAAACATTGGTGTTGCTATGTACATGGAAACTTAGAGACCAATAATTCAGTAAGTAAGTGCTTCAAGCGTACTCAAATATTTCCAAAATGATAATTTCATTTTACCACAAGAAACGCACAGGAATTAATTATATACTGTTTTATATGAAAATATATGTTTAGACGTGTTACATGGGTAGAAACTCTGCATCACCTATTTAAACATTGTAAATAATCTTGAAATGTTATGAAATATGCTTCCCCACAAACTTAGTGTCATTAAACTGTAATTATGATTTATTCCGGGACATAACCTCGACAGAGAAATCAGTTAAAAGTATCATAAACATTTATTTTTGTAGTTTTTTTTTTCATCCATCTGGAAATGAAGGGTTGATCTCTAGGAATTTATGCTCTGTAATTAGGCATAAACCATACGTTGACAGAAACCTAGTGTTATGGTTTCGTCATTAGTACTTCTTATTCTATTCAACATTGTTATCTTTCAGCTCACCTTGAATAAAGTGAACGGCAGCTTCAATTATAGAATTGTGTCTCGTCTCCATTACATTAACATATAAGTAGACAGTGTTAATACATAAGTGTTAATACATGAGTGTTGATAAACGAATGTTAATACAGGAGTGTTAATACAGGAGTGTTAATATAGGAGTGTTAATATACGGGTGTTAATACAGGAGTGTTGA